GCGCGGCAGGTGATTGCGCTTGAGCGGCGTTTCCGAAGGCCTTCCCGCTGGCGTGCTGCTGCTGCACACTGTGTGGTGGGGCTATACTTGTGACATGACTAATGGGTGGGCTGTCGCTCCATCGTGATTCCCCAGCACTGTGGCCGTGTTTGTCCCGTGCGTTTGGCAGCCAGAATCTCACACCAGTGCGTTTTGAAGTGATGTCCGTCTGTTGCTACTGTTGTTACGTGCACCTGCCAAAGCCAGAACACAATACAAGAGGTTGCCTTCTCAGCACGTTGAGCATTTGTATTTTAGATTGCGAAGTCTTTTGGAAACTAAAAAAAATGTCGAATGATGATTTTGTAATTGTCTAAGGTACTGTGACCACCTCTGCGTCTGGTTTATTAAGTCGTGCTGTGGCTCATTGGGCACTCCCGGTGTAATTGTTGGGAAAAGGGATCGGTGTTTGGTTTAACTAATTTTGTTCTCCCCAATTAAGCCAATTTTGTCAATCAGGCAGCAGTGGCTCAATGCACACAATTCTAACTCGTGTGAGGTAGCACGTTAGATTACTTAGTTAAATTCACATAGGTGATTCTGTTTATTGTTATTATTATCTGTTAAAGTAATTCCAGACTGAAATGTTCTGCTTCGTGTACCATGGTCTGTTTTGGAATAAAGAATATGCTGTTGTATGTGGTGAAGTGGCCCTTGCAGAGCGAGCGTGCGGTGGGGAGCGGTGGTCTAGCGGTTAGCGCACTACACTACGAACCCGGCAGGGACTCGTTAGATTCTCGCTCACGGAAATACCGGTGACAATTATCTGAACCAGTCCGGGGTCGACTCGACTTCAAATACGCTCCTGGTGTTGTGTGGGAAGACAAAGGCGGACAGGGCGTCGGTGCTGGCCACCCACCCACTCGTATGCCATTCCGGCCTTCATATGTACTACTTGCTAACAGCACTTGCCCCAACAGTCTTGTTAAGGCTACATGGGGGATCTTTGCTTTTGTTGAAGAGCGTGCTCGGCACCAGACCCGAGCGAGGTCCTCCCCAAGTAGCCTCGTGATTCAATTAAAATGAAATCTGCAAATGCGTGCATTGGACATAATGCGTGTCAGAATACAATCGATTTGTGAATAATTTTCCTTCAGGCGAATACAATTCCCTGGACGATAAGACACGTTACCGACCACACTCCCACGGAGACAAAATCCCGTACAAAGGAGCTGGTTTTAGGATCCTGCCTCGATGAGGGGCTTTGCACCAGAAACCTCATCTCTAGTCGATCTCTTGAGATGTTCTGTAGGTGCAGCTAAAGTTTGAGAGCTCACAAGAAAGGGGGAGTGGGCTACACTCGCACGGTAAACCGACAAAAGATGGCCATGCCATATGCCAAACTATTTTATAAAGCAGATGGTACAGCTGTGGTGGTATAAACGATGAATAAATTCCTGAACCCTGAGCCTGAAGTGTGCCAATTTACCAAGTCGTGCAGGGAGGGTAAATACTCGGGGGTGTTTTTTTGTATTCGGGTCACCATTCTCGATATAATTGGCGCCACATCCGTGATCTATTCCCTGCTGGATTTAGGCCTCCCCATGTCGCCATCTTCGTTGATCCTACATTCCCAAATCCGTAACACTGCTGCTGCTGATGCGATTGGCATTGCTCCATCGCAATGGATGTCGCTCGAAGGGATGGTGGCCGGTGGTTGAGACTCGTGACAGTTGCAGCCAAAGGAGCGACGCCCAAGAGCATCTACCGCGTGGCGATGACATCTCGTGTGCAGGAGGCAGGTGAATTTCTGCCTTACAGAACTGTCGGGCATGATGATGCCTTGGGGAGGTCTTCGTCCAGCAGCGGATTGATCACGGCTGATCACCAAGGAACGTTTTGGTTTTAGCACGAGTATCGGAGCTGTGATGGTGCACGATGGGGCTGCATTGTCCCACCAAAGGTTTGGCCTGAACTCGTGGCATGTGGAGGAGGAGAGCTCTCAAGGGGGCTGCCTCTGCGCGGCGATCTGCACCGCTCCGCGAAGATTGACGGCGGATTTAATGAAACGTTGATGACTCTTCTTACAAGGCCAGGGCCCATCACGTGCACGTTCGTGGCGGTGTGGTGACAGCGCGGTCTAAGCAATGTAAACAAGCTGCAGTACACAGAACATCAGACACTTGAGCATCCTGAGCAATGTAAACAAGCTGCAGTACACAGAACATCAGACACTTGAGCATCCTGACCCGCTTACATGACCAATCATAAATCCCCCTAACCCTTTAGATGCTCCTACAAATCTGCCCATTCAAGCAGATCTGCGAAACCTGAACCACCTGAAATCGTGCAGTTTTTGACCACATCCCTTGGAATGTGTTGCACTTCAGAGAAATGGCAACGGATGTTTGGCAAACGCCAGCATCCCGAAGCAGCAGTTCTGATCACTGATCTCACTCAGTGAATCGAGACCACGCAGTTCACGGCAGATCCGCACGTGGCCTTCGCAAGTGGACATTCCAAGAAAGCCCAACGTGTGATTGTGGAAACAACGTCGTCGATCCCTTCGTGAGCTTCTGTGGAAGCATGAAATAGAGGCATGAAAGCAGCCCACCACCCAACTGAAGTCATTTCCTGGCTAAGCGGTCTGGGCGTGCGTTGCCAGTGGCCTAGACGTGTGCAAGACGCACGACGAATTTCCCCACTCGGTGCTCCAGCAATCAGGAAGCTCGTGAGACGCCTCTTGGGGGGGGGGGGGCGCGTGGCCACGGGATTCTCCAACGCCATCACTGAGCGGCCACAGAGATAATGGAGAGCTGTGACGCCATCCCCACAGCAATTGGCGCAAGAAACGTGGCAAGGGCCTTGGGGCAAGCGATAAAAGTTGGCCTCCATCCAATTTCCCCCTCGACGTAGCGCGGTGCCTTGCCACCTCTGGCCCATGGGGTGCCCGTGGAATGGTACCGCCTGCACACTCGATAGCTGCGCAAAGTTGGTGTTGGGGTGGCACAATGTCGCCACAGCGAGACGTGCATGCTGCACCCACGCTGTGCCTCGCAGCTCCCTGGAGGGGGCAGCACAGGCACCTGATTCCTCGCAAGGACTGGACAGGCGTCTAGACTGGCGTAACGAGCGCTCTTACGAGAATTCGCTAAGAGCAATTTTAACTTACCAATGTGCTCGCAAAACGAGAAAATGCTCGTGTAACGAGCAGAGACCGATCGATAACGTCATGTTATATTTTTCATACATGCTTAGCAAACATAAACATTTTAATTAAAGTTACTGCAAAAAACGAGAGGGCAGTCATCGCCAGACCACGTGGTAGTACACCCGGTGTCCGCTGTGGTCCGGCGATACCTTCGGGATGGTCACGTGGGCTGTGACCTTGCGATTCAAGCCCCTCCTTGCCAGGGGCGGCCCGTCCATGGGGGCGAACTCGGAGGTCGCCTGGGCCGCCAAGTGAATTGGGGCACCAAATTCGAAGACATTTTCTTTTCAATAATGAACACGTTATTGTGAGAATTATATTATATTATTATGTTTTATTTTTATTATTTTATTACTTCCCTTCTACGTGACTTTACCGAAAGAACCAAGAAGATGAATCCCTGCAGTCACGAAAGCTTTAAATCGAAATTTGAACACGTTATTATTTAAATTCCCGTACGCGTACAAATGGAATATAGATTATCATTAATTTCTCAACATTTCCGAGAATGTATTGGTTGGACGGACCAAACGAATAGTTATGCCCCTGTTTAAAAAAAATACGCTGAACAAACATTAAACGAAAAATAGTGGCAACATGTTTTCCAGTTTACCAAAAACCTCAGCCTCGATCTGCCCTTGGGGTTTGCATGGTTCGCCAGGGCGCCAGTCTCGGGCCGTCCCTGCGGGTCTCTGCCGTGCCCAGTCCAAATCCCGCCGTGTCTCCCCTACTGGCCCCAGGTAACTACCGGTGCACAACAGGGACTTTTTGTACACGGGGTTTCTGTTTGAAGTGATAATTTTGACAAATGCATGTTTGTGTGTTGGAAACTGTCGTTACGTGAGCAGCTGGGCAAGACATCATCATCTTTCATACCTGTGCACTGACACGAAACACAACTTCTAAAATATGTGCCTGGTATCGATCAAGGATTCCAAATGGTGTGAGATTCAAACTCTATAAAGAATAGGGGTGGCTACATGGTTTTCACGAAAGTCATGGACAAAGTTTAGAGCCAACCCCAATGTGTTGGAACAAAGTTGTACGCTGAGGTTTGTGATCGTATCCGTCCAAGATTCGTGGTTTTGTCTATTGACTCTTCCGTTGCCAAACGCGCCCTGACCCGCTCATTGTGCAGGGCGCGACAGAGAACCGAGAGTCCTGCCGCGCGTTCACGCCGCGTGGCATTTCAACAAATCGCGCGTGTCGACTCCATCACCCGGACGGGGGCGTCTGCCAGAGCGGACTGCGCACGCACGCCGCAGAGCAAATAGAACGGGGGCCGTGAAATATTTTGGACTAAATTATGATAACATTGGTTCGGTGATACGTGATGATAATGCCCAACTAAGGTTATCCTGGGCGCGTGCTTGCCCGTGTCAGGAGTTGATTTAGTACCCACGGGGGCCGCGCTGTCCCCCGCGGTGGCGTTGCGAGCCGTGGAGGGGGGCGGTGCTGCAGGCCCCACTCCAGCCTCTTACATTTTTCCACAGCCGACTCCAAACGATTGCCCAAGCTCTGACGTCCCATAAGTGTGAAGGTGTTATCGTCCAATTACTGACTGTTATCATGTGGGAGGAAACCGGAGTAACCAGAAAAATAACCCAGGCATGCGAGGGGGAAACACTGTATCCCACACAGACGGAGCAGGTGGAGTCCACATTGCTGCTGCTCTGTCCTCTCCTGGCAAGCCAGGGCGTGGTGATGCCTCACGCTGCTGACTCGAAGCTCCACGAGTCTGTGCTGTGATGTGGCCCCACGAGCCTTCTTGTAAACAAACATTCACAAACAACACGAAGAAGCGTGTGGGACAATCCTCATTTTTATTACAATAGTTTGAGCACGTGAGCATATCGTTGAGACCGAACAATATAAATAGCATCATTTGTATCCCTAACGCGTGGAAAGGTGACACAGTTACACATTTAGTGTTCCGTTGCTGAACCCCAACCCAAAATGCACGGCCGTTTTTACAAACCCAGACCCAATGGCGCACAGACACGAGCCATTTGGCTTGAGTTCAAACGTTCTCCTGCCATGATGCACACTCCACGTACTCTACACTGAATATGTACAGCCCTTTGTCCATCCACTGATGGATGTATCAAGGGGAAAGGGGCAGCCCTGCAATTGCTTGTTCACACCACTGCTGGCAGAAGGGCCTCCACTAGAGGGAGCTCTAGAGGGCTCCCTCTACAGGGTATTTGGCCTACTCTTCCACACTGGTCAAACATCCTGGAAGAGGAGGTGGGGAGGTGGAAGAAGCCGTGCCCTGTGCTGTCTCGACTGCCGCACACTGCGACACGAGGGCTGCTCTCTCCTCCTCCTCCTCCACTGCTGCACGTCCTCGAGAACCACCCAGGGGCAGCTTTTCTGACCAAGCAAACCAAACCCTGCGGTTTGCTTCGGTTGCTCTATTTAACAATAACCCAAACTGCCTATTCACTAACACAGCATAAACAACAACAACAACAAGGTGAATGGGAATCATCACAACCCGCGGGGGAGGCCGAGCGGCTCCCGGCGCCGGGTTTGGGATCCCTCTCCGTGGGGGGCGCCGCCGCCTCCGCGTGGACAGGATCGGGCTCACGGCCTCAGCACCAGTCACCCGTTACTGTCCAAATGGAAGCCATCAAATATTATTCGGCTTCACCCTTGACTTGCGTAAAGTTGAGCTTTTGAGAACTCGAATTTGAGTGAGTCTGATGGGTAACACAGGCGATGCGTCTCCTTACACAGTGCGGCATAGCAGGCGGGATCTGGTCTCCTCCGAGGTCGTCTGAGCCTTCTCTGAGACCCCCTTGGATCTGAGGCCACAGGCAGACTTCCCCCCTAGACCCCCGAGGCCTGTGGCGGAGTGCCGGCCGACTCGCGTTGGGTAGCAGAGGCCTCTGGATGAGTTCCGTGGCGTGGCCGTGACGGCTTGGAGCCCTGCCCACCGAAGGAACTCCAGAACAGACATGTCTCTTCATCTCTTGCCGTCACTCTGATGCGGCATTTAAGATGCAGTTGTTGCCAACATCCAGAAATATATAAATGTACATGTTGAACAAAAAAACACAATGTTGTTACAGAGTAAGTTAAAGGGAGTGGCCTCAGATAGTTGGTAAAATGTGAACGTCTCATTGTGATTGGGTGGTCGAAAAATATGTGCTGAACAGACGAGAGATGTGAGTTGCACTCTGCTGCTGATCCTGATGCTGCTGCTCCTGCTGCTGGCGGTGTTGGTGCTGCTGCTGCTGCTGGTGGTGTTGGTGTTGGCGGTGTTGGTGCTGCTGCTGCTGGTGTTGGTGGTGTTGGTGTTGGTGGTGTTGGTGTTGGTGGTGTTGGTGCTGCTGCTGCTGGTGGTGTTGGTGCTGGCGGTGTTGGTGGTGTTGGTGTTGGTGGTGTTGGTGTTGGTGGTGTTGGTGTTGGTGCTGGTGGTGTTGGTGTTGGTGCTGGCGATGTTGGTGGTGTTGCCAGTGCTGCTGCTGGCGGTGTTGGTGTTGGCGGTGTTGGTGCTGGCAGTGTTGGTGCTGGCAGTGTTGGCGGTGTTGGTGGTGTTGGTGTTGGTGGTGTTGGTGCTGGCGGTGTTGGTGCTGGCAGTGTTGGTGGTGTTGGTGCTGGCGGTGTTTGCTGGGCTCACACATCAGACACGCTAAGCGTCCGTCTCCTTTTTCCCGTTCCTGTGGGTGAGGTCGCTCTCGCCGTGCAGGATGCCCGAACTGGCCCTGGTGCCCGACAACTCCAGGTCGCTCTTCTGGCCCTGGCTCTGCTCGTGCAGCTGCTCGCGCCGGAGCAGTCGGAAGTGGATGAAGTTTCCGATGCCCAGGAATAGCCCCGCCAGCACCATGATGCCCCCGCACGTGAGGTACATGGCGTTGTAGCTCCCGGTCTTGTCCACCAGCCAGCCTACGGCACACACGCGCAAAGATCCCCCATGTAGCCTTTACCAGACTGTTGGGGCAAGTGCTATTGGCGAGTAGCACCTGTGATAGGACTGCACGGCACACGAGGGGGTGGGTGGCCAGCACCACGCCCGAATGCCTTTAGTCTCTCCAGTGGCGAGGTTTACAGGTGTTCATTTGAGAGGAGGACCAGAACAAGTTCAGATAATTGTCACTGGTGCTGGTGGCCGTGAGCAGGAATCGAACTCGGGTCACCGGATTCGTAGCGCAGCACGCTAACTGCTGCGTCACCACTCCCACCCCCCACAGACATCGCAACCGCAGTGTGGGTCGACAGAAGGCGTGGGAGCGGCCGCGTCCCGCCACGCTGCACGTGTGGAGAGGGCACGAGTGGGGAGGCACGCGTGTAGAGGGCACGTGTGGAGAGGGCACGAGTGGAGAGGGCACGCGTGTAGAGGGCACGTGTGGAGAGGGCACGAGTGGGGAGGCACGAGTGTAGAGGGCACGAGTGGAGAGGGCACGAGTGGAGAGGGCACGAGTGGAGAGGGCACGAGTGGAGAGGGCACGAGTGGAGAGGGCACGAGTGGAGAGGGCACGTGTGGAGAGGGCACGAGTGGAGAGGGCACGAGTGGAGAGGGCACGCGTGGAGAGGGCACGCGTGTAGAGGGCACGAGTGGAGAGGGCACGAGTGGAGAGGGCACGTGTGGAGAGGGCACGTGTGGAGAGGGCACGCGTGTAGAGGGCACGCGTGTAGAGGGCACGAGTGGAGAGGGCACGTGTGGAGAGGGCACGCGTGTAGAGGGCACGCGTGTAGAGGGCACGCGTGGAGAGGGCACGCGTGGAGAGGGCACGCGCGTCCTGGGAGTGCGGCAGTGAGGCAAGGAATGCTGCGTGGGCTGCTTCCACACGGGGGTGGTGGCGGAGTGGGGAGGCACGCGGCCGCGTGGTGCAGGCGACAATCCCGACGCGTCAGAGAGAAGAGAGGCGCGGAAGAAGAGTCCCAGTTTGTAACGCCCATCTATTGTACATCCTCTGTGCACGCACGTGCGTTGTGTAAGGCGCTAGTGGGGTTTCGGATAGTTCACAAATAAAATTAGTTGCAGCCCACCCAGGCAGGGGTCAACTTTCGAGGTCAATAAATTAGTTACTACTTTGTGACAAGTCAACAGCGGTCGTTTCATGTCAAGGTTCGCCTCCACCGTTGAAATTCAGAATTTGGAATTTCCGCCGCTGTCTCAGCGCCGACCACGCTCGTGACGCTTCGTTGTTGGCATCGTGCGCGGTGCGTGGGACCTGGTGGGGGGCGGGGGACGAGGGGGTGGTGGGTGGGGGGCGAGGGGGTGGTGGGTGGGGGGCGAGGGGGTGGTGGGTGGGGGGCGAGTGGGGTGGTGGGTGGGGGGCTCACCTCCGAAGGGCGGCCCCACCAGCAGCGGGCAGCACACCGCCATGGTGACGAGTCCCAGCGCGCTGGGGAAGCGCTTCGCCCCGACATGGTCCATGAGCGCCTCGAAGAGCACGGCGCACAGCAGGCCGTAGAAGACGGCGAAGCCCACGGCGAACACCGCCAGGCCCCAGAAGCCCGTGGCGAGCGGGCACAGCAGGTCGCACACGCCCGTCAGCAGGATGGAGAGGCTCAGCATGTTGTGGATCTGCGGGGGGGGTGACGCAACACGGCCGCTGAGTTCCGCGACGGGCACAGAGGCCCGGTGGCAGCAATGGAACGTGGCCACTGCGGGGAGTTGATGTTTGACCCACTTGTGCAGATCTACCAGTGCTCTCGCTCTATATGTGCACGACAGTGCATCGTTTAGCTCGGAGCTTGTTTCTTCCCACACACCCACATAGCCAACAAGGAATGAACCAATGACCCAGGCATGACCCTCCTGGGAAATGTTCTTGGCTCTCACTGAGGCTTACCTGGATGAAGCTAATCCAGTTTCAGCAATGCATTTTGTTTTACTCATGTTTACAGTGAACCTTACATTGTAAGCCTCTTTTATTAAACATTCTCAGAATTATTTCCTGCAGTTAATTTCCATTCATCGAATGAGGGAATTAACATAAATGGGGAAAATATATCAACGCTCTTGGATTTTTTGATATAACAACCGATGGAAATTACTGACTTCAAATTACACAACGACTGAATCGAGAAGGCTGATCTAACGTTGACGGGAAAGACCCATCTTCCATCCCAGCATCCACAGAGCCAATCAGAGATTTGTCGATTCGAGACTCCATTCGACACCAGCCCTTCCCAAGTGTTCTCCATCTGTCCGTCTGCCCCTCTTCGTGTCCGTCCACAAGAAGGCCTAAGCGAAGGGCCTCTACGTGTCTGTGGCCGTGCCACCCGGCCTCTTGGCGATGCCGAGGGCGGCCTGCGAGGCGGTTACCTGCGGGCGGAGCCAGGGTGAGTTGGCGATGGCGCCCCAGGCGGGCCGCGCCACCAGGTCCACGACGGCCAGCACGGTGAGCAGCAGGGCGGCCTGGTACTCCTCGATGCCCATGTGCTTGGCGGAGGGCGTGAGGAACACGATGGGCACCAGCAGCCCGATGTACATGAGCACGTTCCCCACCAGGTAGATCATGAAGCCCCGGTGTATAAACAGAGTGAGGTCCAGGAGGTCAGCAATCTTCCCGCAAGCGCCCCTCTTCTTCACCTCCTCCACCTCCACCTCCTTCACCTTCTTGCCTTCGACGGTCGCCAAGGGCACCATCTCCTCCTCCGCCGCCTTCTCCTCGGCCGTCGGCTTCTTGACGGGCAACTGCAGCGGGCGGTAGAGAGCGCCAGCCACGCAGCAGTTGAGGAGGATCCCGCCCAGGATGAGGAAGCTGCCGCGCCAGCCGAAGGTGTTGAGCAGGAACTGATTGAGCGGTGCCAGCGTACTTAACAGGAGCGGACTGCCCATCATGCCCACGGCGTAGGCGATTGGCCGCCGCTTGAAGAAGTAGACCCCGATCATCGTGAGCGACGGCTGCAAGTTGAAGGCCAGGCCCATGCCTGTACGCGGCACGATGGGGGAGGGGGGGGGGATCACGCGAGGTCACACGAAGTCATTCGCGACGAGGCTGGTCCCCGCTTGACCCAAAGTGGACTTTATACGGTGCCCTTGACATGGCCAACGGTGCCTTCTCATAGAGTGGTACTCGTTTTATCTGTTCCTGTGGGATGATAGGTTGAGTGAACTCCTGAACGGGGCTGTTACGGTATGGAATAATGATTTGGATCTGAGTGGGCTTGCAGATGGCCGGTACCAGCGTTGCCAAGATCAGCCGCTGTGGAGGAGGAGGCTCGTGAAGGACGCTGCTTGGCATTTGGAGGCAGTCGCCCTTCAACAACAATGGAGTTTGGGGGATCGACGCTCACAATGAGTTGAACGCTGGACGGCTAAAACACAGCAAGTTGGCACAGTGGGGAGCACAGGTGGTGCATCTGCCACTCAACTCAGTCAACCCATGGCTCCTGGCTCTGTCCCGCGACCTCCTGTCAGCCAGCCTTCGACACTTCACGTGGCCTCAAAATGCACCTAGCCTGGCACAAGTGCTGTCCGTGGCTGCGTCACCGCCACTTAGTGGCGTATGGCGTTTGTTGTTATGTATTTATGAGGGTACGGCTCCATGTTTAGGCGCTTCGCTCCCCACCTGTGAATATCACTTCATTCTCGGAAGTCGCGGTTCTCATTTTACAGTCGTCACGACAAATCACGTGCTGATGGAAACAGCCGATTTAGTGGTGGTGCTGCGCTATTGCCAGCTTGTGATTTGGGAACTGCCGCTCTGCGTTGACTTGCGCCTGCATCTTGGAGTTAGCGCCAGGGTTTTGGGGAGTGACAGGTTCCAGAGGTATCTGTTGAGGTTCCATATGACGTACAGATGCATTATTTATTATGGCTCAGGCTACCAAATGTCCTGCCTGGTATGGCCAGGAAATCCCATTTAATTCTAGATTTGACATCCCAGTTTCAGAAGGGCCATCCCGGTGTTCAATAGCATTTGTAAAAAAAAAAACGAGGATTTTGTCCCGGCTTTTAAAACGTTCTGGCCTCACTTCTCAATGAGACAGGGCAAAGGGCGGAGTGACGTGAGTGGCACGCGGTCTGGGAATGAACGGCCTCCCAATGTGGGCGGTGATAGCAGTCGAGTGGGCGGGGCTATTGTGAAAGTGGGCGGGGCTATTGTAAAAGTGGGCGGGGCTATTGTGAAAATGGGCGGGGCTATTGTGAAAGTGGGCGGGGCTATTGTGAAAGCGGGCGGGCTATTGTAAAAGTGGGCGGGGCTATCGGAAAAGTGGGCGGACTATCGTGAAAGTGGGCGGGGCTATTGTAAAATGGGCGGGGCTATTGTGAAAGTGAGCGGGGCTATTGTGAAAGTGGGCGGGGCTATTGTGAAAGTGGGCGGGGCTGATGGAGGGAGGGGCTCATCAAGTGGATGCATGTACTGGACATGTAGATTGAACTTCTTGAGCACCGTACGTAGCCAATCGTGATAACAACAAACTGAACACACAAAAAGCAGTTCTAAATAAATTAGTTTTCAAACGTGTCCTGGTTGAGCCTCTGAGATATTTGGTAGCTTTACTTTAAGCTTACGGCCAGATGCCAAGTGATAATCCCACCAACTGCACATCCCGGCCTGGGTGGCCAAGCGAGTGGAACGTGAGCCTGGCGATGATTGTGTGTTCACCAAGAGCTCTGATGATAGTCGTATAAACATCGGGGACGCTGATTCAAGCAAGCACTGCGTTGTTTTCACAACTCGAGTGTAAGCAAACGTATTCACCTCGCAGTGCGGTGTACGAACTACACAGAGCACACGCAATACATCAACAAGCGCCTCTTCTGGCCCAGTCTCCGAACTGTAAAGAATGATTACCGAATGCTCCTTTGTCGGTGACTACGTCTCCCTCGAACGTTTGTGTGACATTTCTACTCGGGAGGACGGCCTCGCTGGGGGTCAGTCGGCGCATTCTGAGTTCGGACCATGGCACTGGCACATCGCAGATCTCACTCTGTCGTGATGCTGGCAAGAGACGGGGGCTTTGAACTTTGAAGCCCGAATGTCTTCAAGTTCAATCAGTGGTGGCGCATGCCTGCTCGTCAGAGTTTCGGAGGCGGGGTTGGTGCATCACGGAGAGATTGCCACGTGCTGTGAGACTCGAAATCCAATTGGCTGGTGGTGGTAGCAGCACAGCAAGTGGGTTTCTGACCTGTTTGTGTCAACATTGGAGCGTCATTCGCTCCAATGAGTGGGTTTTATCCGGGTACACACGTTTACTCCCCGAAACATAATGCATATGAAGAAGATTACTAAAAAATACCATGATTGCATCTAAATTCCACATGTGCACGACAGGACGAAGTATATTCTTAACGCAACCACGATTGACTTTCTGAAATAGTGGCGTAGCCCCATTTGTACCAACCCAGAGGGATGAAGGTGATAATGATGTCAGTCGCGACAACGGTGAGGCTGATGATGACGATGATGATATGGATTTTGACGATGGCGACGCTTGCCAGCACAGCAGCCGCGTGAGGAGGCGGCCGTAGCTCGCCAGGGGAGTCAACGTTGCGCCACGAACCTACGAGAACGCCGAGGCAGATGTAGAGCTGCATGATGGACGTGGCGAAGGAGGCGATGATCATGCCGACCCCAGCCATGACGCCGCCCAGGATCACCACGGGCCGGCTGCCAAACTTGTTGACGAGGACCCCGCACACCGGCCCTGCACGTGGCACCACACGGGATGCTCAGAGACGTGCCGAGCGCTCTCGCTCTGCGCCGACACACACAGCTGCTCCGAGGAGATTCGGCACCCGGGCTACGTTTTCGGAATGTCTGAGCGCGTTAAAATTAAACCCGCACGTGGGAAGACATCTACCACGTGCTGTGATATCTCTCTATCTCGAGCTGCCGAGTGGGAGATGGCATCCCGAGAACACGCGTACCCAGCAGCAGCCCCGGAGACGATCACCCCTCGCCCTTTACCCCAGATTCCACAGCCTGCTCGCTGGCTGCAAGCAGCTGCACCCCTTAGCAGAAAGACATCGGTGCCCTTAATCTTACGCAGCATCTGCCGAACAAAATCACCCAGTGACAAGAAATAACTCGGCCGCAACTGCAGCGCCCACGACGCACGGGGTGCTCCGGGCTCCGGGTCTGTTGACACACGAGGGGGACACTCGCCCCTTACCCACGCTGACGTTTCTCTAAACGAGCGGTTTAAAAAAAAAGGCAATTTGTTGTCTCGAGCCAACTTTTGTTGTTGTTGTTGTAACGCGGTTGCCTGCGTTGCGATGTCTTACCGAAGCCGTACATGAAGGCGAGCATGATGGAGGAGATCCAGGCGATCTCGCTGTAGGTGGTGTCGAACACCTCCTGGATCTCCTTGTAGTAGACGGTGACCCCCTTGGGAGTGGCGTAGGAGAATCCGATGGAGATGACGGAGCCGGCGAGGACGAGCCAGCCCCAGCCGCCGTCGGGGACGCCCTCCCCGGTCCCCGAGCTCGTGGGTGGCGCCATGGTGCGGGCTCCTCCGTGCTACGGCGTCAGCGGCGGTGGCGACGGCTCGGCTCTGCGGGGGAGGCGCGCGCGACGCCGGCGGCCACAGTCAGCCCGCGTCCCCCTCGCCGCGGGGCTCCGCGCTCGGCGGGGCAACGCGAAATCGTCGCGGTCAAAATGTCGACGTTTGCGCGGAAATAAGCGGGCTCGTTTCTATTAGATGCTACGGTTCTTTCGGTAAAGTCACGTCGATAGAAAAAATAATAACAATTAAATACATAGAACATTTTTAATTAAGTGAATAAAAAAAGATATCACCACGTTTCGCTCGCAACACAAGCAATCGTCATCAGGAGAAAAACGAGTTTTGTTGTTTGGCTGCGCTCATCTGTGATGGAAATTCCACATTGCTGTGGTCAGGGCGGTCTCACAATTGTACAGCGACGGTTCGCTACGTGCGGGGTGGCACGCGCCGTGGCACGTGCACGAGCAATGGGCGCCCGCCAGCCGGGGAGCGTGGGGTAGGCTCTCTCAGGGCAGCGCGGCAAGTAGGTTCTGCTGTGGCAGGCAACAGATGTCTTTCCCTCGCACGACTTCGTTTCTGTCAGGCGCCCTGCTCCCTTTGTCTGACACTAAAGGAGTGGCCAGGCGGGCCCCCTTCCACACACACATCTTTGCAGACTCAATGAAGCTTTTACCTGGCCAACGGCTCCACATCATTCTGTCATTATTTGGACAGACACGGTCAACGCGAGAGGAAACGGTGCGGTGTGGGGAGGCACAAGTGGCTGTGCGTGACGCTCACGATGCCACCTTCACTCGGTTTCTGCAAATGGGACAGGAAGCCGCGGCTCTTCTTGCGTGTGGACAAACCCTCGTGACCCGCGAAATGTTCCAACTCACGCGGCACCCCCACCACCACCACCACCACCCGCTCCAGCTCCGCCGTTTCCACCAAGCGAGGTCACACAGGGAGACAGGTCGCTGGAGTCTTTTTTCCACAGCCATTAGATGCGACTGCAGCCCCAGCGATGCGTTGGGGCTGCAGGGAAACGCATTAGCGCTCGCGCATGGCGGAGCGACGATGTGGATGGAAACGAAGTGGTGGACGGGGTGGAATGACTCCCCGGGCCGAGTTTAGTGGCGGCGAGACGTGCGGCGATGAGGTCGCATTCCAGACCCCCCTCCCTCCCCCCAGGCGCTCCGGGCTCAGTGGCAGCAGACAGGTCCCTACGACTCTAGGACCCTACGACTCTCGACAGATCTCGGAAGCTAAACAGGTTTATGTGTGTATGTTGAACTTCTTTCGCACCGTACGTAGCCAACTGTGCTAATGGCAGCAGCCTACAACAGGTGTTGTAGGCTGCTGCGAGGCTAAGTTGCCAGCAGGGGGGAGGTGCACACAACTCCATTGTTGTACTGTACTATGCTGCAATGTCCATGTCCCTTGCCTTAGATGGGCGATCACCGAGCATGGCGTGGGGGTAGCGAGCAGCTGCCGCGGGGCTTGTTGTTGTTGTCGACAGGGGGACACGGCCACGACGTCTATTGTTGTACTGCACCGTACCCACGCTTCTATGCTCCATTCACCAACCCACACTGACAAGCGTGGTGACGCATGGCAAATAACCGCTACGACCCACGCGGATTGGGGAGGCCCTCATCCAGCAGTGGATTGACATGAAGGGCGGATCGTATTCCGTGCACAAGAACCGTGGCTCTTTCTCTCCGTGCAACTTTAACTTTAGAGATATTGCTAAGCCGCAGTGTGAGGCCAGTAAAACATTGTTTTATTCCACATTTGTATTGCAGGAGCCAGCCTCTGCAACGGGTGACCACAGCTGACCCAGGTGGAATTCTTGCAGAGCGCTCTGCTCGCAAGGGGAGGTCGTGCGGCGTTCACACCGTGGCCGGGGGTCAACTCAGCTCATCGCCTCTCTGGGGGCGACGGATTTAGTAGCACGGGCGACGTCACCGCCAGACGCGTCGCACGAGGCCGACGTGAATATCGGCGCAGACTGTGGCGTGGAGTGCGCAACAGCAGAGACAGCTCTGGAGGCGTGGCTGGAGCTGCGAGACAATGGAGCGGCCGGGAGGGAGGTCACCCCGGGTGAGCCCCGTAGCGCCGCGGCTGGCGCTGCAGCGTGACCCACCGCGCTCGGTTTTGACTTTCGAGGCACCTTGAGAGAAGGTGGCGTCAAGGCCGATAAGCCCCTTCCTCCTGGCTTCCGGTAGCAGGCGTGCGCCACACCGTCAGCATTACAAGGCAAACTCTGAGCCACGTGAGACAAGCGGCAGTGATTAATCACAATTTCAGTCGGTGGCTCTGGGCGCGCATGCCTGAGAAGCGAGGTTCAAATCCAGTTCGAAGCCAACCACGATAAAACCGGATTCTCTCAGCCTGGTCACCAATGACTACGCAAAAATTGTACGTTGGTTGTATACGTTACTTTGGCTTAATCCAGCCCTAGCAATTAAAATATCGGTTTAATTTACATGCGGCGAACACTCTCCGCCGAGTGTAACCTGGTGTGCTGGAGGGATTTCTGAAGTGGTTCTGTGATGTACTCTTCTGGGGCCATTCTCTGACACGAGGTGGTGCACGACTTGCTTCCCGTGGCAGTTCGCAGACAATTTGAGGCGGTGACCGCTGTGGACAACTGAGTGACAACTGAGTGATAACTGAGTGACAACTGAGTGATAACTGAGTGACAACTGAGTGATAACTGAGTGATATCTCACCGCATGCACGGAGGGCCCCGAGGTACTTCAAAACAAGCCACCACACATCCCAATACATAAAGGGAAATATTATTGTAATTACAGGTTCATCATTTAGCCGACGGTCATTGCACGCCAATCTTGGCCTAGAAACAGACACCACGTCGTTAATTTTATCCCATTAATGACCGGGAACTCTGCAGAGAACCACCGTAAAGCGAAGTTGATCCCTAAACGAAGATGCATGAGCTCAGATGAATGTTGGCAAGAGACTCGCACCATCAGCAGAATACAGCGAGCGTGCAAGGAACACAATGAGTGTGACGCGTGACACAGTCCTGGCCACCGAGGAGAACCCTCAGCGTTCACTGCAGCTGCGAGGGCCACCGACGCCGACCGCTGCCACCGCTACGCCGCCCCGACCGACGCTGGCCCAGCGCTCTGGGGCGGCCTTGAGGCCTGACTGGGGCCTGAGGCCACGCGCCCTTTGCCTCGAGGCCGCCGAGTTGTAAACCAGAGCAATGAAGTCGGAGTCGTTGATGCAGCAAAGCCTCGAGGAGGCTCACGCCACGTTTTGAGGAGAGATTCAACTTGGGCACTTTGACCAAAACCCTCTCGAGTGACAAAATAGAAAAGCCTTTGTACATCTGCCTCTCCACATACAAAATAAATATATACAAACACAATCTTTACAACCCATCGGCCTTCTGGGAGTGCATACTTTCATAATAATTGATTCAGTTGAGTAGTGAGTGTGTGCCCAGGAAAGATGGTGAGAAAACACACACACACACGCAATTCTTACGTGCATCAGCAACCTACTCACTGTACTGTTTCTTACTGACCACCCCGTGTATAGGCCTGTCGTTTGAGAGTCTCTCACACACACACACACGTACTCTGTGATCCACACTGACTAAGCAGCGAGCCTATGTCAGGGTTGCCCTGCCCGGGAGTTACCTGGAGAAGTTCGTGGGAACAAGTGGCGTCTGTCTCCGGGCGACAGGAATTGATTGTCCCGAGGTGGCCTGACACGGTGATCGCTGCGGTTGTGAACTTCATGGGGCAAGGCTGCCCGGTGGCGATAACAGACACTCGGCTGGCGGGGAAACGCGCGTGGGTTCGCTGTGCCGTGGTGCCTCCCTCGGGAGTTCGCTCCGCACGTAGGCTGCGCACAGTGCAGCGCCATGCCGAGGTCACTGGGAGTGGAAACAACGTTCGGGAAACGTTCATCCCAAAGGAGCGGCGAGCAGGCCGAGCGGTAGCAAGACGAGGGATCTGGGCGAGCGCCCGGCCCCGCTGAGCCGAGCCCGCGGGGGGTTGCCCAAGCGCGCCGTCTGCGCGCCATGGACGTTAAAGACTCCGCGACATCGGGGCTTGCGTTGCGTTCCCGCTTTACGGTCCAAATGCAAAAGTAGGAGAGAAAAAAAACCCACCAACTAATGCCAACTTATAATCTAGACTCCCAGATCTGCTTTGCAAGATACAAATACAGAACAGGCTCTCTCACCTGGCTTAATTATATATTTATATTTACAGCCGTTGTGTCAATCCACTGCTGGATGAAGCCCTCCCCACACTGTCGGTCATGAGGGTCTCTTGCCCATAGTTCACCACCGCTGGGCAAATGTGAGAGTCGCCCCACTGCCCTCCGTTGTTGCTGGAGGGCGACTGCCTCAAACTGCCCAGTAGCAGCAGCAGCGTCCTTCACAAGACTCCTCCACCCCCGGTACCGGTCATGGGCAAATCCACTCAGCTCCACATCCTCCCGTGCCGCATCAGCTCCATCTCTTATCTCGCTCCCCCCACTTCCCGTCAAAATGCCAAGGACTACGATCCCAGTATCGAGAGGAAACTTCCACTCACGAACGTTCCGACTATGTAAGTTGTACGCATTACAGGCAACTGCATCAGATACCTTGCCTGCACAGAAGTCGCAATCATGCAGTTGTACCCCAACCCTTGTGAGATTTAGAGCTGCGCTCTGTTAACAGTCGCGCTAAACAGAGGTAAGCTCGCTGCGTTCCACTCAAACAAACCTCGCCGCATTCCCTCCACCCGCACCTCCCATGTGCACGGTTGGCTACCGACGGTGCCACAGAAGTTCAATCTACTGTACAAACATACCTCTGTGTATGTTTTTACTTTCTACGTGACATTGATTAAACGTTCCTTTAGCAGGACTCTCCTGAAAACGAGTATGAGACTCCGTGGAGCTTTTTTTTAATCGGACAATTTATTTAATTATTATTACTGTCGAGCATGTTTCACTTCTCTAGTCATCCACATCGTCGTCGTGGTTTATGATTTTTGTTAAATTTATATTTTTGCACGAAAGTTTGTGCGTCCAGTTCCCAGTCTTGGGTAAACTCGGCCCATCACCTCTCTGGGGTCAATAGAACAAAATGTCACTGTATGGGCAATCAGTAGTAGTCATCCGAAAGGTATACTGGCTCCTGCCTTCGGAACGCGTTGTCTATACAACCGGCTCAGGGCCAACGACAAACCAACCGAGACATATTTCACAGCCAGCCTATAGGCCTGTCAACCCCCCCCCCCCCCTGTATACCGGAGTGAAGGTCAGCACAAATACCACGCGAGATGTCACGCTATAGATCAACGCGTGCCGCCACCACCACCACCGCCACACACACACACACAGAGGTGCAACCCCAGAGCCGCCCAGTGCCCCTTTCACTGATTCTCTCCCTGCGGACCGTGGCCACCTCGCCGGGGCGTTCGTCCCCCAGGGCCCCTTGCCAAGAGGCCCGCATCGCCACCATCGCCTCGTGCACCCCACGCGGGCCGATGGCGACGGAGCCGAGCTGGACGGTCGCGCTCCATCTGCCGCCCGCTGTCCGTCTCGAGGCAGCTGCCCCGGGCTGGCGGGGTCTGGCGTGCCGTGCGTGGCCGTGCGTGGCTGTCGCTTGACAGGTCAAGCGAGTTCTAGGGATCACATCCCACCCGCCCCGACAGTTCGCCAGCGGCCGTCTCCATCTGCTGCTGCTGGCGCTGCATCAACACAAACTCTGCAGGGCGCGTCTCGAGCTGCATGCTGCGACCTAGTGTCCTCGCGTGCTGCCACTGAGCCCCCCGTGCCGTCGGTACTTTGCTGGGCGTGAGAAAGAGCTTCACAGCTCATCGGATTCCTCCAGGATAAATACAAACTCTGATTCTGATTGTTGCGTCACAATCACCGGTGACGTCGACGACCTCAGCGCGGCCACTGGGATGGCAGCGCTGAAGGTGGCGCATGAGGATCGGAGCTGGGGGGGGGGCCGGGGGGGGGTCACGGTGGCCGTGTCGAGACGCAGCGCTGCTGACTCGACCACGTGACCTCTACTACGGCGTAGCAAGCCGATCGTATTAGCTCGGTCATCATTTCTCACGAAGATAAAAAACATAACATCAGGGTTTCCCTTACAATTTCATTTGGTCCATTGCCGAAACGAATACATATGGATGCAGTGCTGTACTCGAAGTGAATGTATGCTGAACTTCTTTCGCACCGTACGGAGCCAACCGTGCTAATCGGAGGTGCTACAGGAAAACAGAAGAGCCCAGATTGGAACGCGTCACCGCACCGGCTGCGAGGGACCGCGCGTCCGGCTCGTAGCGGTGGCGTGCGACTCTCGCTGGAGGCGAGTCGCTGCTGTTTGACGCGAGTCCGACTTTGGTGCAAAACACGACAAGTAGACATCACCAATGGCTACCTACTTGAGACAAAGGCAAACATTTTACATCTCATCGTTTATACGTTTTTGTAATGAACGCGTTTCGGAAGAAAAACTGTTTCGTCTTCGCATTGCTCGCGATGTCGAGTTGAATGTCGGAGCGCGCGAGAGAGACCGCGTGGGAGCCGAGCCCGCGCTGAGCTCGCTCCCGACAACGCTGGCGACGCGCACAGCTGGAGTCGAGACACAGAGAGAGGGGGACGGGACACTCACTGCACGGCAGGAGGAGCAGCAGCAGGAGTGGGGGGGGGTCACTCTCCCCGGGGGACGCGCTCGGTCCTCTTCGACTGCCGCCGCTGCTGCCGCTGCTGCGACTCCGTCGGGCAGTGGCCGTGGGTACGAATGGCTCCGTGAGTCCAAACTCCGGACTCGCTCTCCTGCAGCAGTCCTGCAGGAGGCAAAGCGCGGCGTCAGGCGAGAGATTACATCTCGAAATGTAAATCCCCGTGGCCCGGTCGGTGCCCGGTGCCTGGTGCCCTCACCCGGCCGCGCGACTCTGACCTGGGTGCAGCCAGGGGCGCCGTCAGCAGCTCCCGCGGTGCTGTTCGCTGCGGGGTCGCGTGCTCTGCGCGGACACTCGGCTCGTCATAATGAGCGGCGGGAGATGAGCCGTCAGAATAAATAGCGCGGGGGCCCGGCTCGCTCCGAGCGGAGGGGGCGGGGGTGGTGGTGGTGATGGTGGTGATGGTGGTGCGGCCGCGTCCGGGAGCACGCCCCCCCACCGCGCCCGGCGAAGCGTGCCTCCCACGCTGCCTGCCGCCTGGCCTCGTCCTGCAAGGCGCCAGGCAGCGCTCCGCTCTCGCGGCGGGCGATGGGGAACGCCAGCGTCCATAAATACTCACGGGGTCACAGTCCGCCCTGACTCTTCCACAAGCCGGGATGGGCAGTGGGCTGACTCACAAGTCGCCGCTCGCAAAAGGTGTTCAACCGTAACTTGGGTGTCCTGTGCAGAAATGGGTGGCTATGCGTAACTGATGAGTCCTAATTATGACGAAACCACTGCACAGTTGTCCATCCGGCATCATTGCTGCTGCTGCTACTGCCGTCATTTAGTCTTCTCAAATGTATTTATGGTGACCTCATCGAAGAGATCTACAATACACTTCTTCAGGAACCGCTGATGCACTTCGCATACTGCACAAAGGCGGAGTGATTTTTACACTTTACGATGATGAGGTGTGCTGAAACGCATTGGCACGTTCACGCGACAACTTTATTAACTGGCTGTGTGGGTGGGAGAGGGTGCAGGACACACGTGGCGATGTGGACAAAAACGTGAATTGTGAACCGCTGTTCTGTTTGTTGGTTGAAACTTGTGCAGAAACCGACTGAGACAACCAGATAGGTCATATCATTGCCAGCGCTTCCTTAAGCTGTTACAGAAAGACTGGAGGGATGCCAGATATAATCCGGTTGATTGTATTCCCCTATTCATGTGAGAACGCAACGCAATGGTATAAGGATGGCGTCTCCACTGCGGCGACACAACCAAGACCTCCCAGAAGAACATTCACCATTGTGTATTTGCGCCACAGCCGTCAGCTTGACGCAACATTGTGCTCCATGGAGCTCTCCACCATTCTCATGAAATGGAAATACTGGGCCATCAACAAGTTGACCGGTTGGATACCATCCCGAGGACGTCCTGGAAAGCAACTGGGTCAAATGTTCTCCTGGGACAGGCCATTGTGTTCGCCAGACGTTTCAGATAAAGGGAGGGTGATGTCACCTCCACTGCCTCCATTCCAAGGCCAAAACCAAGTCCGGTGCGACCCCACCACTCACACTCCAGCTCCGTCACCGTGGCCCCCCACACAGAATCTCCCCCCCCCCCCGCCATCTGAGATGAGCTGGAGGCTGGGCTCCCCGCTGCATAGGCAGCTCACGGGGTCAGGAGGCCGCGCGCTCTCGCCTTGACCCCACGACACCCCCGCCCCCGCCTCGTCCTATCTCGCATCTGCCGACTCGTGACTCAACCCCGAGCCCCGTCTCGCCGCTCAGGCCGCCCAGGGCGGCGCGGACCCACGGCCCTGCCCCCACAAAGAGGCTCCCACGGCGATGGGGCAGCGTGACCGCCCGCAGTGGTGGGAGTACAGATCTCCAGCAAATCTGGCAGCTGCTCAAGTGGCACCACAGCCAGTATAGGATGAGGAGTAGGAATAGGAAGAGGAGGCACCGCGTCTCGTTACGCGTGTCCACAGGGGGCCATGGGAACTGCGGCCACTTCTTCAATTCGACTCTCGCCACGCAGCGGTGCTCGGTTTGGAACCCTCGAGAGAATGATGGGCTCTGTCGAACCCAGGGTGAGATTCGAACTCGGATCTCTGACGTTGCCAGTCGAGAGCTCTGAGCACAGGGCCACCGGCGGATTGAAACTCAAACAGCGCTGTAACTTTAAGCAAACAAAACCAATCTCAACGCATATTCTATGGGTCTTTCTATCTACGTGGCTTTACCAAAAGACCCATAGAATATGTATCCCTGCAGTCACGAAAGCTTTAAGTCAAGATTCAAACTCAACACGTTCGTCAACAAATATATTAATATGATATTATGTCAATAATATTATAATAATATTATAATGATGTCAACTCGCTCTCGTCGAGAGAAAACGGCTCAGAGGCACGAGGAGGAGGAACCCAGACACCAAGAAGGCAGCAGCCACGCGGTGAGCCGGCTCCAACAATTTGCCAAGCTCTGCGATCCTCTGAGTGTTAAGGTGTTATCGCCCAATTAGTGCGTGTTTATTCACGGGAGGAAACCGGAGCACCCGTATAAAACCCACGTGTGGCAGGGGAAACACTCTACCACGTGCGGACGAAACACGCGGAGTCCACATGGTTGCTGCACCCCCTTCTCCTAGCAGAGCCAGGGCACGGCACCTCCTTGACGGCCACGGGACGGGAGTTTCAAATCATCAGCGCGGTGACCCAGCAACCCTCGCTGCCGCCTCCACTGTGCTCGGTGACGGGGCGTGCGCCACGAAACAGAGCACTCCGTGCGGCCTTAAACAGAAACCAAATTGGCGACGTATCGGGCGACGGCCCTTCTCTGCAGCACAGAGAGAGAGAAGCCAGAGACAGAGAGGAAGAGCGAATAGGAGGCGTTGGAAACTGAACTCATTCAACTTTGCGGGCGATGGAGCTGACCGCACGTTGTTGCATCAAACATCGTTCGTTGTACGCGACTGACACTGAGGTCCCCCCACCCACACAACCACACGCACATCACCCCACCACTCTGCGCCCAACCACCCTCCCTCCCTCACCGCCCCGATGTCTCCCAGTCCCAGAGTGACCCCAAATAACCCAAGCTGCCTTCAACCCGCTCAGCACGTGTCGTTGGGTAACGCGGGGCGGGCGGGCAGCTGGGCGAGCACACGGAGCGCAGATCTCGGATCGAGATAGGAGCGCGATTGGAACTCGAATCGTCTTCGTGTTGCGTTCTCGAGCACATTGGTGTCGTAACGCAGCTGGCTGTGTGGATAGACTCAGGGCACTGTGATTTCAAACACTCAGAGCAGCGTGGCGCAATGCCAAAGCTCGTGCCTCTCAGCAATAAGGTTCTGAGTTCGAATCTCGGCTCCGTGCGTCTTCTGTGTGGAGTTTGTGTCTTCTCTCTCCTGCCGCTCTGCACGGGCTTCCTCCAGCGTTCTTCCATTGCAAGAACCCCAACTCACACACGGTGCACTTGGTGTTGGTCAAACACAACCCCAATGCTGAACAATTGCACTGCCAGTGACTCAACTGAGATCACACACAGCAGCAGCAGCAGCAACATCGCCCCGTACTGCGAAAACTTGGCGTTGGCCTCACGAGGGTTCTGAGACTCGGTGAAGCTTTCCTGGATAAATACGCGGAGTAGAATAATAGGGAACCGTCCCTCCCTCCGACCAGCCAGCCAGCCAAACATTTTGTGCTTTAAAAAACTCACGAATAGAAACACGTGGAGGTCGTGCGTGCACGCGCGTGTGCAGAGTCACTGGCACGCGCTCTCACGTGCGCCTAATCAAATCACATCTTGTGCCCCGGCCCACACAAGAGGGAAGAATGCGGGCCACGTGGGTCGCCTGTCACGCGCACCACCACCCCCCCCTACACTAGCCTGGCGGCAGTGGGCAAGCAGCGGCACTGAAACGTGACCCGCCCCTCCCCACCCCGAGCCCCCCCCCCCACTCGACCCCCCGCCTCTTCCACGATATCGCGTCTCCACAGAACACCTTCAGCCGCAGGTGGAAATTACACGTTCCCATGGCGAGAGACAGTCTATCCAAAGGACGACAACTCTGGAATTTCCACGAAGTGGTACTCCCTTCCCGTCAGATGCCACCCTTGCAACTCTTACTCAGCAACCCGAAGGGAGCCTCCACTGAACGTGACGCAGCAATGTCCCTTGACAGTCTCGTGCGGATAATGGGCCGTGCTATAAATGGCTCCTGTGTCGGGTCTGTTTGTCTGCTCCGACTGCAAACTCGTACTGACCAGACGCCCGCCAGCGTGGTCCGCTGAGACGGAATCGCGCGCGTTCCACAGAACTCGCTGGGGCCAGACGTCGCGGTCTCGTGCGACTCGTTGGGAACACGCCTGTACCCACGGGGTCACGCCACGTCCCCGTGACCCCGAGCCGAGGTCACGGCGTGTCCCGTGCGGGCCTCTCGTGACCCCACCTGACCACGGAGACGTTCATTCCCTGACCACTTCAAAAATGAATTGTGCCGAGGTTATAATGCATCTGCATTAACCTTCAGTGAGTATCCATCGCAACTCTCACTGTCTATCAGTCAGTATCCATGGTAACAATCAGTATCTATCAATTAGTATCCATGGTAACAATCGGTGTCTATCAGTGAGTATCCATGGTAACTATCAGTGAGTATCCATGGTAACTATCAGTGTCTATCAGTGAGTATCTATGGGCTATAATGTCCCAAAAACCACGGATTTTCACATTTAAAAGAAATGCGATTTGTCGAGTTACAAAATATCGGTGCACGGGTCAGAAATACTTTGTGAAGAGTAAACAATTCTCGCCCCGTGGATAGATCGACCCCACCTCTGGGAAGTGGAATATCTCCCTCGTCGCCTCCACCAAAGGCGAGTCCCACACCCCCCCCCCCCCCTCATTGCAGTTCAACACAGAGGCGCGTCACATTTGACTTGGACGGCAAATCATTGAGTCGTTACCGCTTCGTGAGCTGGTCCGCCACAATACTGGGTTTTGTGAAATGTCAAGTTGGTTGCTTCTGAGGCCCGAGACGAGATGAATTGGGTTGAGATGCTGGTCTACTCGCCTTCGACATCGCCATGCTGAGCTGTGAAGACGCAAACATTTCAAACAGGAAATGTTTCATGGCCGGCGGTGTCACGGCCAGTGGCACAATTCCCACTTCTCCGGCGTTCTCCTCGAACGGTGTTGCTTGAGGCGAGAGGACGCTGAACGCCTCGTGGCGTCCTCTGGTCTAACACCGTCTTGAGATGAGGCTCAAAAAAAAGCTGTCTCTGGTGTGGACCAATCAGTTTAAAAGACAATGCCAATATATTATCAGAGTATGTGTTTTTGTTTGCATTCTGACCACAAGTATTGTGGTTAATGCAGTGACGTGATTCCTTGTAAACAGTTCCAGTTTGGTATTTTAACATCTCAACACCTGTTTTGTGGCCAGAAAAAAGGGGAAAACCTCTTCTCAAATTCAAACAAACCCAGCAAGGGACTCGTGAAGCAGTGTCGATGACAGCGCCGTATTTAACGCGTCACAGGAACCAATATTACGCAAAATTTAACAAATATATCGCTGCGGTTGAGATTCCCGTGGAGACGAATCGGCCCAAGCCCTCGGCGTTGGCAGGGAGACTGCTGACCGCGTGGCTGATGAGCCGATCCTCTCACCCGACGCGACCTCCCTTGGGAGACACTCGACAATGAACCGAGGTTACTACACAGAACAGAGTAACACGATAGGAGCGCCATTATACACATCAGCTGCTGCTGATGAGCCATCAACCTAAAGCAGTGAATGCAGAGCGCACGGCTCCATCAGCAGCAGCAGCATCACTCCCTGGGCTCCAGCCTCTCTCGCCGGCTTTGAAGCACGCGGCACGGCGCTGTGAACTCCACCTCACGGGGCATGGGGTCGGTCACTGCATGGGACAACCACGTTGCCTTCCCATACATTGGTACTTTGTTTTTTATAATCTCGAGTGATGATGTGCTGCGTCAAGTCGACCACCGACTGTGATTTGAGCTCGCGACTTCCGACTGCGAGTTGAACGACGCTCTGGCCGCGCCGCAGCGACACCAGGAACGCCGGGGCGACCCCACGAGCCACGAGCTGGACACAGCTGCTGGGCGACTCCGAGCCCCCAGCCCCGCACAGCGTCCACGTGCAGAGTTCAAGCGGTCCGTGCGACCCCACCGAACGTACGACCGCGTGCTGCAGCCGCGGGGGATCCGTTTACCCGCCACAGTAACCACGATTGTCTGCGCCACTTGCCACATTGCGAGCAGATGCCGCTTCGACGAAACGCCGCGGCGACGCGCACGGCCGGCCAATTGGAGGCGTGCGGCCACCCGGCGCGGCCCCCCCCCGACCCCCCGACCCCCTCATCCTCCTCGCGTGGAGCCCTCTGCGGCCCCAAGCTGCGATCTGCTGCTGTCGGTGGCCAAAGTTGCAACGCCACAAAGCGGCGCTCGCGTTGTATCGACCCCTGAAGGGCGATGGGCGTCACCAGCTCCTGACCGCCACGTGGACCGAGTTGATCCGCGGCGTCAAAGCCACTGCACGACGCAGCAGGGGGGCACAGGCCGCTGCGCTGGGTCCGCTCGCCCGCTCGTCCAACACGTCCACCACGTCCACCACATCCACTCGCCCACCACGTCCACTCGCCCAACACGTCCACCAGCAACTCTCCAACACGCGAGCGGAACGTAAATAATGAACAGCAGTCCTCTTCAATCTACACAGCGGGTGGCGAGCGTTACAAACGCACCCATCCTATTCGTGCGTAATACGGCAGCGGCAACGTGCGCAGGAGCTCGATGCCAATGTCGATGTTCGCTGGCCACAGCGAGAGGGCTTCAGCAGAGTTCGTGTTGCGTTGCTGCTCCTCCTCCTCCACTAAGAGCGCAGTTCAGTGGTGGACCACCTGGTCCGCTCGCCCATTGCACAACGCGCTCACTCGCTCGCACGCACGCACGCACGCCCTGCAGAATGCTCGTCGGATGGACATTGAAGGGCGTCACCAGAGCGCGGTGGTTCTCAAGGTGCGGTGCCCCAACCACCGCTGGGCCGCGATGGTCCTGCCAGGTGGTTTGTGGGCCGATCCAGAACCAATGACAATGTTCATACCTTTTAGCTTTGGACGTTAATATTTTACTTGTTACATAAACTACCCTGATTAAACTATCATAATCAAGATCTCAATGCCGCTCTTAAACAACTTTATAGCTGCGTAAAAAGAGTTGTATGTACGATTGAATTAGTCCTTGTGGTATTTCGAGAGGCGTGACTGCGTCGTCACCAAGGGGTGGGTGGCTGGGTGGTCCGCGGGACAAACCAGTTTGAGAACCACCGCAAGAGGCTCAAATTGGGCAAAGTGCTCCCACGAGAGCCTCTGGTGGTCAAGTTGTTTACCTGCAGGAGTGAAACAAAGATGCAGAGAGGGCCTTGGTTTAATTCTGGATTACAGTCGAGAAAATTGCTTCATGAAACAAGAACTTTTGAAACTTTATTTGCAATTCTCAAAGTCATAAAAGGCGACACAAACATTGTAAAACCCAGACACTTGTTTTGTTGCATGAGGAGAGGTGTCCCATCTGCACGACTCGACGACTCTTCCCAAGAAAACCAGAGTACCGAGTCAGAGAGAGAGAGGGAAGCAGCAGCAGCAGACACGCGGACACGGCCACCAACCATCCACACCTCCGCCTTGAGCGCTCGCATGCGACAAGTATTTTGTTGGGTGGAGGGGAAACGTTAAAAATGTTTGCCACATCTTTTACGCACGCCTGCAAGTGTGGCACAACCGCACCGTTACAAATTTCATTCACAGATTTCAAAAGACGACCCTTGGGTTTGTAAACGAGGCCGGACGAGTTGGTGGTTCTATTCTCGTGCAGCACGCGGCGGGAGACCAGTTAGAGAGACAGACAGGTACCAGAGAGGTGGCCCAGTGGTGGGAGCCCAAAGGGAAGAAGCCAAAGGCAGACGCTGGGAGACCCGAGTGGGGCGCTGGGGGGGGGGGGGGGGGGGGGGGGGGGGGGGGCTGCAATAGCCGAGCCGAGCGAGATGGCCGAAGCGCTGGCGCGGGTTGTGGTGGCATCAACACAATTGGCCACAATGAACGTGGACATCAAAGCCCTCCACCTCACGGTTTTAGACACGGGGAACAATTTCTGCTATGGCCTTCATCCCCGAACACCAGGACATGGGAGCTGTGCTCCGTAGTCACCGAACGAGGTCTAACTGCACTGTCACCTCCTCCCACCGCACACTTCACTCATGCGCACACACACCCTTCTACAACACCAGCAACACGGGCAAATTAACATTTATCCCAGAGGATGCCCGATATAAAACACATCAGCAGCCTCTTGTAGTTTCAAGTTATGCAGTGAACAGTGAAGGCATCAAGCAGTAGCGTCGCGTTCCCAGAGTTTGGCGGTCGAGCCGTCACGTAGCAAATCCTCGGGCGAAGGCGATGTCGTGGTGCCGCCAAGGCGCTTGAAGCGACGTCTTGGTGACACCGACAAGGTGAAAACTTTGCTGGTGCGGGACGTGTAGCATTTAGCGAGATCCGTGTGGTCCTTGAACAGTTGGCGATATCCCAGTAATCCTGCAATGCCAGCGATATGGAGGTCGCACGTGGGCCGTGGTGCACGTGGGCCGTGGTGCACGTGGGCCGTGGTACACGCGCCACCGATAACCGATAGCCGAGCCAGCGCCTCGGCGTAGGCGGCGCCCGCGAGCGTCTCCGGAACGCCGTCGCCTCGTCCAGGAGCTTGCGGGGCGTGGCCGCACGAGAATAAAAACTAAAAGCGAATGCCCAGTTTAGACGAGTCTCAAGAGCCCCGACGGTGTTCACAGAATGGCCGTGGAGAGAAAGCATCATTAAAAAGAAGTTTAAACCAGGGGGGCATGGACGACAAAGCCCAACCTGTAAGGGGCAAACGACTAAAGGTGGGGGGCAATTAATTAAGCGGCCTCCGAGCAGCAGATCACGTTTACAAAAATACGCGTTTTCCCCAAGCGAGCCTCCAAGGGTTCACATTTGTGCAGAACGCAGCACCGGTAACAATCCCAGCCCTGGGGGGCGGCGGGGCCCTCCCCTTTCGAGAGACGAGAAATACAGCAGCAGCAGTGCAGAGTTGTACGCCCAGCACTGTCGCGCACAGCACACACGCACGAGGGACACAGAATTTTGTCGGCGCCGCTACGACCATCAGTATCATAGAGGCGCATTTCAACTTGCATTCGCAAAACGTCCGAGTGGTATTCATGAAAAAGTGGGCGTTCAGGAACTGCGTAAATGGCAGAAAGTGGTTCTGGCAGTCCCGTCAAACTGAACCCACGAGCTTGAGAGCGGTGGCAACACAGTGGAGGCAGCACGAGCACTGGTTCCCGATTGCACCTTCCGTAAAGACAAGATCCGTCACATAAAACACGCGTGGTAGCTACACCCACCCAGGCTGCGCGTGACCATCCGGCCGAACACCAAGTTGGAGGTCTTCGTGAGGAGGAAAAACTAATCTCGGCCTCGCAATGGAGACGGTGTCTTGTGTCCAGGAAATCGGAGAGATTGATCGGCGACGTTCGACTGCTGCACTTCGGCAAAATGACGGCGTGTTGACATTTAAATAAAATAAAACTCGGCAGTTTTTGGTGTAAAGTTCCTACGCATTCTGGGACCTCCCGCTGTGCCCTCACCTCATCCTCAAGCCCCCCCCCCCCCCCCCCCCCCAATCACAGCATCTTGTGCAGGCACTGCGGGTACATCTTGGCGGCGACGCACTCAAAGTGGCGGCCCAGGTCCCAGAGTCTTTCGGGCGCCGTGTACACCTCGCGCCACGTGTCGGTCTCGTCCTCGTTGGCGAACAGCGAGTACCGGCGGCACATGCTGAACACCAGCTCCTCCAGCAGCACCTGCGTCTGCCGCACGAACATGTGGAGGCGCCCGCCCAGCGCCACGGGGCGTGCGTAGGGGCTCGCGCCGGGGTCCAGGGGCAGCTCCGAGCGCCGCTCCCACACGTTGTTGCGCAGCGAGTAGCGTTCCACCGTCAGCGTGCGCCGGCGGCTGCCCTCGCAAGGCCCCCCCGCGTCGTCGCCGCCGTCGCTGCCGCCGCCGGACGCCGCGGCCGCTGCCGCCGCGGCGGCCGCGGCCGAGGAGAGGGCGCCGCCCACGCAGTAGAGCCAGTCGCCGCACACGAGCGCGTGGCTCTGCAGCCGCGGGACCGTCATGGGCGTCAGGTACTCCCAGTGGTCGTGCTCCGCCTGGTAGGCCAGGAACACGTCGCCTGCGCGGGGGACACACGGCGACCGGTTCACGTTCCTCGCTCTCAAGGGTTCGTTACACCCGCGCGCCGTGTGTGTGTGCGAACATACGTGCGCGTCTCGCACGCGCAATCCGCGTGCGAGAGACGCACGTGGGCGAGTGCGTGCCTGTGCGTGCCTACCCTGTAACACGTAGATCCTGCCCAGTGCTGCGGCCACGCTGTGGTACTCCATGGCGACCGGCATGGGGCTCACCGAGGTCCACACCTCGTCGCGTTCCGAGTAGCGCTCGACGGACTTGAGCGCGTTGCGGCCGTCGCCCTCGTACACGTGGCCCCCCACGGCGTACGTGGCCCCCCGGCAGTGCGCCAGCTGGCAGCGAATGCGCGCACGCACCAGCGTGCCGCAGACGCGCCACTGGTCGCTCGAGTGCTCGTAGCGCCAGCACTCCGCCTCGGCGCGGTGGTCCACGGCCGCCTCGTTGGAGCCCGGCCGATAGCCGCCGGCCACCAGCAGGTCGTTGTCGGGCGTGACGAGGAGGCCGGCCTCGCGCAGGTCGCCCGGCAGCCGGCTCAGGCGGTAGACGTCGTGCGTCACCGGGTCGAGGCAGATCACCATGCGCTTGCGCGCGGAATGCTTGTGCGCCGCCTCGAAGCAGATCACCATCTCCGTGGCGGTCATGCCGAGCCGCGGCCGGCTTGCCTGGGCCTCGGCGTTGGCGTCCGCGGAAGCGGCGGCGCCGTCCGGACACAGCGCGCGGGACAGCGCCGCGGGCAGCGCGCGCACGTACTCGGCGTCCATGAGCGAGAGGCGCAGGCAGCGCGCGAACACGCCGGGCAGCTCGGACAGGCGGCCGGGGTCGCGCCCGGCCCACGCCACGACGCTCTCGTACACCTGCTCCTCGCGCTCCACGTTGAGGTCGTCGCTCAACAGCAGCTCCTCGAGCTGGGCGCGGCTCAAGCCGCCGAACTCGCGCTCGCGCGCCACCGCCGGGTACCAGCGGCGGATGAAGCCGCAGGCGGCGGCGCGCAGCTCGGCGTGATGGTGCGCGTCGGCGAACGCGAACACCCCCACGACGTTCTGCGCGTCGAGACGCGACGCCATGAACGCCGCGGTGAGCGAGAGCAGCCCCGGGATCTGGAAGAGGTTGGCGGCCGCGAAGGCTCCCTGCACGTTGGACTCGGTGAGGTTGGCACGCGACGTGTACGCAAAGTCCAGCACCAGCTGCATGGCCTCCACCTCCACGCCGAGGATGGAGACCTCGCGCTGAGAGCTCTCCGTCAGCCCATTGGTGAACATCGACCTGAGTGGCGGTTAGGGTTAGGAGGCAGACGGGTCCTTTGAATTTATAAATGGTAGGAACGGTACATTTATAGTAAAAACTACAATTTGGAAACTCTTAAATGGCTCAACAGCCATCCTCCTCCGTAGGATGGACTAGTTCCTGCCATGAGAAAGTAGAATTTTCACCGACGCAGGGAAAGCCTTGGTGACGAGTTTCATCGCACAGCTTGCTTGCAGAAAAACCACCGAGATTAAAATAAACATTTACTTACCAGGCAGCGTCACCAGGAGTCGTCGTTGGGGCGTTTGAGAAATCTGCTACAGGCAGGCCAGCAAACCACTCGTTAACTTCCCACTTGAGACAAGCACCACCCTGCCCCTCACTTCGCGCAGACAAGAGCGCAGGTTACCAGGAGAGAGTTTTGCGTGGCACCCAGCGGTGGGCGTCCAAGGAGAAGCGCTCAAGGTAGGTGGTGGTAGAAGACTAGGAGCAAATTGTCTGGGTCAGGAGGCATGGAGAAGGCAGTGGTGGCTTTGGCGAGGTGGCCCCGTGCATTGACCGCGACGGCCTTGTGACGACTTTGATCCCAAGAGAATAAACAGGCCGTGGCCCTTGGTAAAAACCGAATACCGCTGCACAATGACGAAGGGAGATCACGAGAGTGGCTTCAGCCCTAACCCCTGCACACGATTTGTCAAACGGCCATCGGTTTTCTTTTCAGAACCAGACTTTAACGCCGCGGTATTAATCTGGGCGGCCGCTGGATTAAAACCGCGAGCCTTTGCGACGGAGGAGCAGCGAGCGCGCTACCGCCGGGCCGTGGAGCCGCGCGGATTGAACAGGGAAGAGCCGACCGGCGCGGTAACGCTTCTCACCGGAAGTAGGGGCTGACGGCGGCGAGGACGTTGCGGTGGCAGGGGAAGGAGCCGCCACACTCTACGAGGAGCAGCACGTCGGTGAGCAGCCTCTCGTCCAGCATGGCCTTGAGCTGCTGCAGCAGCTGGCAAGCATGCTGCTCCACGGGCAAGCACGCCCCGGGCTGCACCCAGCCCAGCAGATCTGCAACGCCAGCGGCACGCAGCGCTCGCTCACGCACCAACATACAACAACAACCAACAACAATCCCCTCGTTGCGTAACCTTCAGACTGCTGGGGCAAGTGCTGTTGGATAGCACACTTCCAAGGCTGACACCGTGCATAAGGAGTTGCGTGGCAAGCAGCATGCTCGGCCACTCTTGTCCCTTCATTTCGCAATGTTTACACATCGCACCAGGTATTCATTGGAGGCAGAGTCAACCTATGGGAAGGCCCAGAATTGGTTCAGATATTCATCAACGATGTTGGCTCAGAGTGGAATCGAAACCTGGTTGTCGGGTTCGTAACGCGGCCTGCCAACCACTGCACCACCGTTTCCCAAACATCACACCCCACGCGGGAACTCGCTACATCCCGCTAGCGCCAAGTGCCGTTCGCGAGAACAAAGTCCGGCAATGATGTTGGGAATCCGAGGCGACTGGGATGGTAGTGCAGTGCGTGAAGCATTGTTCTAAAACAAACCCCGCGTATACTCGCACACAGCTTGTGATGGCACAAGTGTCTCACCCCTCTTAAAAGTTACATTCTCCTAATTTGCCCTATTATCACCGTCATGTCACGAGACCAAGTACTGTATCTATTTAGATCTCTGTGCAGTGCCCTATGAAAGTGAAGATCAAAGAGATCTCGGAATATCGCTTATAAAATGACCTCTCATCCACACAGTTGAGGCACGATCCACTGGAAATCTAAGAAAAATTGCTGCCAACAATCATCACCAGCAACGGTTTCCACAGCATTCTGCATTATAAAAATAGTTGCACAACCTAGCCCAGTGGACATGGCAACTTCCAAAATCAGATCGCAAAAAACGGCATCTTCAGGATTCTGGCTGGGATTGGGGCGTGATGGGCCACGACGGGCTGCAGTCATCAACAGATCCATGACAGCCACAACTTAACCAAAAATCTGCAGACCGATAAACAAACATTTATTTTTGATTGGCGAGATAGAACTCCGTCACTCCATTTCATTACCCCGACAAGTCCGAGATTAATTTAACCAGGTGAGAATTCGAAACCATGGGACCACCGCTATTGCCTTCAAAACAAAGAGTTGGTGCCTCCGGATTTAAACATCGGACCTTCCAATTCAGACCAGGGTTCAAGTACAATTGTAATTGTGGCTTTAAAATTAATTGCAAAGTGCAACTTTAGCTGAAAGGTTCGCTGTCGGATCCGATTACGGGTCGGGTACTTTACAAAAGCAGCAGCAGCAGCAGCAGCGCCGGAGACTCGCAACGGACAACGAGGGGGCGACGCGGTTAGAACCGCGCACCCCCAGCGAGAGCTCCGTCTCCAGAGTTCTGCCCATCTGGTTCGAGCGCCTGGTCCTGACGCACTCACACACCTCCATGCAAAGACAATGATCCCCCCCCCCCCGTATAGCCTATGAAGGAGGCCGGTAATGCACAGGAGATGTTGGGTGGCCAGCGCTAATGGCTCTCCCTCGTGTTCAATGTTTATACATCACACCAGGTACTCCGTTGAGGCCATGATTCCGTCAGTGGTGTTGGCCGTGAGTGAGCGGGAATCGAACTCGGGATGTCGGGCTCGTAACAAAGGGCGCTAACGGCTACCCTTCACAAGACATGGTTGTGGGTTGGATCGCGCAAGTATCAATTTGTCGTAGCCCTACGCCACCCGACACAGCCGGGAAGGGTTGTCACGTAAACAGAACGCGCCGATTAGATACTTCAGCCAACGGGTGTAGTGGCGAGTAAGTCCACAACATTTATAATTTAAGTACGACGTTTGCCTGATAATTACATCCAGCATCATCGGGCGATTGAACAGCTACCCTACCACTCCCCACGCGTGTACGCACACACACACGTGTCACGTACGCGTGTACACACGCACACACACACACACACGTGTCACGTACGCGTGTACACACGCACACACACACACACACGTGTCACGTACGCGTGTACACACGCACACACACACACACACGTGTCACGTACGCGTGTACACACGCACACACACACACACACGTGTCACGTACGCGTGTACACACGCACACACACACACACACGTGTCACGTACGCGTGTACACACGCACACACACACACACACGTGTCACGTACGCGTGTACACACGCACACACACACACACACGTGTCACGTACGCGTGTACACACGCACACACACACACACACGTGTCACGTACGCGTGTACACACGCACACACACACACACACGTGTCACGTACGCGTGTACACACGCACACACACACACACACGTGTCACGTACGCGTGTACACACGCACACACCACACACACACGTGTCACGTACGCGTGTACACACGCACACACACACACACACGTGTCAACGTACGCGTGTACACACGCACACACACACACACACGTGTCACGTACGCGTGTACACACGCACACACACACACACTGTCACGTACCGTGTACACACTCACACACACCACACACGTGTCACGTACGCGTGTACACACGCACACACCACACACACGTGTCACGTACGCGTGTACACACGCACACACACAACACACACGTGTCACGTACGCGTGTACACACGCACACACACACACACACGTGTCACGTACGCGTGTACACACGCACACACACACACACACGTGTCACGTACGCGTGTACACACGCACACACACACACACACGTGTCAACGTACGCGTGTACACACGCCACACACACCACACACACGTGTCAAGTACGCGTGTACACACGCACACACACACACACACGTGTCACGTACGCGTGTACACACGCACACACACACACACACGTGTCACGTACGCGTGTACACACGCACACACACACACACACGTGTCACGTACGCGTGTACACACGCACACACACACACACACGTGTCACGTACGCGTGTACACACGCACACACACACACACACGTGTCACGTACGCGTGTACACACGCACACACACACACACACGTGTCACGTACGCGTGTACACACGCACACACACACACACACGTGTCACGTACGCGTGTACACACGCACACACACACACACACGTGTCACGTACGCGTGTACACACGCACACACACACACACACGTGTCACGTACGCGTGTACACACGCACACACACACACACACACGTGTCACGTACGCGTGTACACACGCACACACACACACACACGTGTCACGTACGCGTGTACACACGCACACACACACACACACGTGTCACGTACGCGTGTACACACGCACACACACACACACACACGTGTCACGTACGCGTGTACACACGCACACACACACACACACACGTGTCACGTACGCGTGTACACACGCACACACACACACACACGTGTCACGTACGCGTGTACACACGCACACACACACACACACACGTGTCACGTACGCGTGTACACACGCACACACACACACACACACACGTGTCACGTACGCGTGTACACACGCACACACACACACACGTGTCACGTACGCGTGTACACACGCACACACACACACACACGTGTCACGTACGCGTGTACACACGCACACACACACACGTGTCACGTACGCGTGTACACACGCACACACACACCACACGTGTCACGTACGCGTGTACACACGCACACACACACACACACGTGTCACGTACGCGTGTACACACGCACACACACACACACGTGTCACGTACGCGTGTACACACGCACACACACACACACACGTGTCACGTACGCGTGTACACACGCACACACACACACACGTGTCACGTACGCGTGTACACACGCACACACACACACACACGTGTCACGTACGCGTGTACACACGCACACACACACACACGTGTCACGTACGCGTGTACACACGCACACACACACACACACGTGTCACGTACGCGTGTACACACGCACACACACACACACACGTGTCACGTACGCGTGTACACACGCACACACACACACACACGTGTCACGTACGCGTGTACACACGCACACACACACACACACGTGTCACGTACGCGTGTACACACGCACACACACACACACACGTGTCACGTACGCGTGTACACACGCACACACACACACACACGTGTCACGTACGCGTGTACACACGCACACACACACACACGTGTCACGTACGCGTGTACACACGCACACACACACACACGTGTCACGTACGCGTGTACACACGCACACACACACACACGTGTCACGTACGCGTGTACACACGCACACACACACACGTGTCACGTACGCGTGTACACACCACACACACACGTGTCACGTACGCGTGTACACACGCACACACACACACGTGTCACGTACGCGTGTACACACGCACACACACACGTGTCACGTACGCGTGTACACACGCACACACACACGTGTCACGTACGCGTGTACACACGCACACACACACGTGTCACGTACGCGTGTACACACGCACACACACACGTGTCACGTACGCGTGTACACACGCACACACACACGTGTCACGTACGCGTGTACACACGCACACACACACGTGTCACGTACGCGTGTACACACGCACACACACACGTGTCACGTACGCGTGTACACACGCACACACACACGTGTCACGTACGCGTGTACACACGCACACACACACGTGTCACGTACGCGTGTACACACGCACACACACACGTGTCACGTACGCGTGTACACACGCACACACACACGTGTCACGTACGCGTGTACACACACACACACACACGTGTCACGTACGCGTGTACACACGCACACACACACGTGTCACGTACGCGTGTACACACACACACACACACGTGTCACGTACGCGTGTACACACACACACACACACGTGTCACGTACGCGTGTACACACACACACGCGTGTCACGTACGCGTGTACACACACACACGCGTGTCACGTACGCGTGTACACACACACACGCGTGTCACGTACGCGTGTACACACACACACGCGTGTCACGTACGCGTGTACACACACACACGCGTGTCACGTACGCGTATACACACACACACACACGTGTCACGTACGCGTATACACACACACACACACACGTGTCACGTACGCGCATACACACACACACACACACGTGTCACGTACGCGTATACACACACACACACACACGTGTCACGTACGCGTATACACACACACACACACGTGTCACGTACGCGTGTACACACACACACGTGTCACGTACGCGTGTACACACACACACGTGTCACGTACGCGTGTACACACACACACGTGTCACGTACGCGTGTACACACACACACGTGTCACGTACGCGTGTACACACACACACGTGTCACGTACGCGTGTACACACACACACGTGTCACGTACGCGTGTACACACACACACGTGTCACGTACGCGTGTACACACACACACACGTGTCACGTACGCGTGTACACACACACACGTGTCACGTACGCGTGTACACACACACACGTGTCACGTACGCGTGTACACACACACACGTGTCACGTACGCGTGTACACACACACGTGTCACGTACGCGTGTACACACACACGTGTCACGTACGCGTGTACACACACACGTGTCACGTACGCGTGTACACACACACGTGTCACGTACGCGTGTACACACACACACACGTGTCACGTACGCGTGTACACACACACACACGTGTCACGTACGCGTGTACACACACACACGTGTCACGTACGCGTGTACACACACACGTGTCACGTACGCGTGTACACACACACGTGTCACGTACGCGTGTACACACACACGTGTCACGTACGCGTGTACACACACACGTGTCACGTACGCGTGTACACACACACACGTGTCACGTACGCGTGTACACACACACACGTGTCACGTACGCGTGTACACACACACACACGTGTCACGTACGCGTGTACACACACACACGTGTCACGTACGCGTGTACACACACACGTGTCACGTACGCGTGTACACACACGTGTCACGTACGCGTGTACACACACGTGTCACGTACGCGTGTACACACACGTGTCACGTACGCGTGTACACACACACACACACGTGCTCGCACGCACCGCTGCGCGCCGCCATGCCACCCGGCGACCCACCCGGAAGCGGAACCAGCCTGGGGCGAGCGCGAGCTCGAGCGCGTCGGGGCTTCATCTTGACTTCCGCTTCCGGTCCGAGTTGCTCACGTGACGAGGGCGGGGGGAGAGAGAGAGGGGGAGGGGGGCTTTCCCCCGCGCCTCGCGCCGCGCCTACAAATGGGCGCGAGCCCCGCCCCTCAACCCCCCTCCCCCCTCGCCCCGCCCCTCACTCACTGCCCGCCCGCCCCTCCCCCACTTACCCCGCCCCCCCGCCCCCCCGCCCACAGGTTGGACGGGTGTCACATGAGAACTCGAGTCGGCTCAGCGCGGCGCAGCAGCACGTGCTGCTCTACCAGCAGCACGTGCTGCTGGTAGAGCAGCACGTGCTGCTCTACCAGCAGCACGTGCTGCTCTACCGGCAGCACGTGCTGCTGCTGCTCTACCGGCAGCACGTGCTGCTGCTGGTAGAGCAGCAGCAGCACGTGCTGCTGCTCTACCGGCAGCACGTGCTGCTGCTCTACCAGCAGCACGTGCTGCTGCTCTACCGGCAGCACGTGCTGCTGCTGCTCTACCGGCAGCACGTGCTGCTGCTCTACCGGCAGCACGTGCTGCTGCTGCTCTACCGGCAGCACGTGCTGCTGCTGGTAGAGCAGCAGCAGCACGTGCTGCTGCTCTACCGGCAGCACGTGCTGCTGCTCTACCAGCAGCACGTGCTGCTGCTCTACCGGCAGCACGTGCTGCTGCTGCTCTACCGGCAGCACGTGCTGCTGCTCTACCGGCAGCACGTGCTGCTGCTGCTCTACCGGCAGCACGTGCTGCTGCTGCTCTACCGGCAGCACGTGCTGCTGCTGGTAGAGCAGCAGCAGCACGTGCTGCTGCTCTACCGGCAGCACGTGCTGCTGCTCTACCAGCAGCACGTGCTGCTGCTCTACCGGCAGCACGTGCTGCTGCTGCTCTACCGGCAGCACGTGCTGCTGCTCTACCGGCAGCACGTGCTGCTGCTGCTCTACCGGCAGCACGTGCTGCTGCTCTACCGGCAGCACGTGCTGCTGCTCTACCGGCAGCACGTGCTGCTGCTCTACCGGCAGGGTGGCCACGAGGCGCCGCGTGGGAGGCGGTATGGAGCCGCGTCTCTCGGCGTGGTTCCCCGTCGCCTCGCGCCCTGCGCGCTGCCGGCTCACGAGGCAGAGGCGGGGCTGCGGGAAAGTTCCGAGGGGGCGTTGTTTGTCCCGGAGGTGCCACATTAGGGCCCAACATTATTAATCATCATTGTTAATAAGTCATCCAAACACCAGTAATCAGGGACTACACTATTACAGCCAATGACCTCTTTGGGGCCGTCCATAAATGACGTCACGCACCTAGGGGGAGGGGACATTTGTGACGATGGGGGGGTTGAGAAATGTGACGTCACATCAAAATGCGCAACTTTAAACAACACGTTCTACTTAATTAAATATACTTTTTAATAGATATTTTCTCCTACAACATCAGAGTGCAGCGGCACATTAAATACGCGCTACAATGACAATAGTTTAAAGCGATTTGAAGCAGTGTTTTATTTGGGGAGGGGGCAGAGCTTTGTGACGTCATATTTGAGGGGGGTCTGACTTTTTGTGACGCCGCGTGACGATGGGGGGGGGGGGGGGTCAAAAATCCTCCAAAATCGCGTGACGTCATTTATGAACGGCCCCTTTCACAACCACCGCGTGAGGACGGGGCGGCTACGCTTCGTGTCTTTAAACGCGGCCCATCACCATCATCAGCAGCAGCGCCGCCAATCCTTGGTGCGCGTGCTTTGGATGTCCCTGGCCCCGTCGTGGGATTGTGGAGTCTCCACCATCGGCACTGGGCTGCCCATATCCCAGGTGTTTATTTAATTATCTCACTGGAATTTCATGCGAAGATTGTAAGAATCAAGTAAGAATCAAGTTGGCATGAGCTAAGCTTGAGGCGTTTCTTCTGCTTGCGATGAAGAGCGCTCTGTGGGGTGGCCATCTGGGTCTCAGTGGGGATACAGAAACGACTCCCAATTACTAGATCGCTCCACCAGTCCGGAAATGAAGATTAATTTAGAAGATTATGATGTGGTTCGTAAGAGGTCAACATCATGAAGGGGGAGAAAGAACAATGAATAACAAAAATTCCAAGTTTCGCCAAATTAATTTTTGGTAAATTTGGCCACTTTGCTGAACAGCTCTAGCATTTACAATCGCCAATCTGCGGGCTCGGGATCAAAATCACACAACGGATAGGCGTGGCCTCCCCTTGGTGATGTAACGAGGGTTGCCACCGGTCCGGGGATTGGGAGTTGATGAACCGAGTTGATGAACCGAGTTGATGAACCGAGTTGATGAACCGAGTTGATGAACCGAGTTGATGAACCGAGTTGATGAACCGAGTTGATGAACCGAGTTGATGAACTGAGTGGTCTTTTAGTTCATTAACAGATTGGTTAAAAAGAGGTGAGACTTGGCTCCAACAAAGTCTAGTGGACACGAAGGATTTCAGGGGGGGGCAGGCGATTATAGGGAGAGAGGGGGACACCTGATGAGGTGAGGGGCTCGAGTGGGACAGAGGGACGAGTGGGACGGGAGGACGAGTGGGACAGAGGGACGAGTGGGACAGGGGGACGAGTGGGACGGGAGGACGAGTGGGACAGAGGGACGAGTGGGACGGGAGGACGAGTGGGGCGGGGGGGGGAGGCCCGGTGGGGATGCCAGCGGTGCATTCAGGAGTCTGTACCGGCCACAGACAGGGAGGAGATCTGCATTGTTGGCAAGAACCAGAGGCAACAAAACACACCAGAACCACCACCTTTATTAGTCCACGTGTAACATTCACTGTACCGAGTAAATCTTGAATCAAACTTGCAGAACATTTTTTCAGTTTTGTTACGGTGCAAAAACTACCAAGCGTGTTGACGATTGGTGGGATATTGGTCAATGCTAAACTCAAACATCAAATGCATTTAGAGCGTTTATCCCAGCGGTCCGTGGTGGAGCCTGAGTCGCCCAACACCAGGTCAGAGCACCCAGCCAGCACCACTAAATCTGGGACTACATTTGAGTTTCAGCTATGATTAAGCCGAGTTCTCTAGTAGCAAGTTGATGGTCTCAGTCCAGTCAACATCAAATATTTTTTTTACATAATTCCAGTTCTCTAGCTCTAAAAATATCGATTGAAATGCAACGGATGCTCTACGCAGCGCATGTACCATATAAACATTTTCACCGTGTGGGTAGGAGTTGAGTAGTTCCGACAAGCCGTTTGCCATGTGCTGGTGCAAGGCTCACCGTGAGTGACGCTTTCAAAATGTCTTGTTTCTGTCACATGAGATCTTGATATTGACAGCACCATTAAAATGTTACAAAAAATTAAGCCAAAGTGACGTATCGTCTCACAGGGCTATTAGCAGGTTACAATGGGCTCTAGGCAACCGAGATTGTTTTAAGGCATTTGACTCATCCACAGTTTGAGTCGTATTCATACGATTTAGGGACGACACGTGTGCCTGTAGGAGTGGTATGTGTAGCACGTGTTCTCGTGTGTATGAGAGTGGAGTGCGTCATGGCTTCAGCTGTGCGAGGATGGCCTCTATCTGCTGGGCGACGCTGGCCCTGGCGGTCCCCCCAGGAGCCGAGTACTGCTCCACGCTGCTCTCGTAGTCCCACACTGCGCACACATCACTGCCAAACAAGGGGCTGCACGCAAACAGAATGCACGCACACACACACCACACGTACACGCATTGTACACACACCTCTGTTTATTAATGGTCAAAGCAAGCACTGTTAGTCAAGTCGAATAGCACACACCAAGTCGAATACCACGTTTCTGTCTCAAAATTTGTGTTACGTTGAGACGGCTGTTAAATTCTGGTTGCAGCCCAATTTATCTGGGTTGATTTGACTTCTGTGGCTGCCATAAATTCTCCATATTAGAATTCATACTGAGCTGAAATATGCCACATAACAAATAACAATCACACATGTTGTAGTGTACGGGAACATTTCATTCAACATTCACAGTTAATTTTGCAGCAATGCAGTCTTGACGTTGTACTCGCAGGTAATTCTGGGAAAGTCTTACTCAGATGTACTCTGCGAGAGACAAGTGCCACTCACGTGTTCACTAGACGGACTCAGCAAATCATGGAAACACCACTTTTTTTAACCAGGATTGATTTCTCTAAGAACTCGAGTTCAACTTAAGTTCTGGGAGAAAGCAGACAAACTCAAGTTGTCTCGAATCGAATGAGGCGACAGTCCCATGGAACAGGTTAAAGGGTCATCTTGCTCAAATGAGCTTGACGTTGTGTTCATCTTCAACAAGTCTGAACTAGGTACTGATTTTGATCCGAGTCTACGATTCTGTGTTCAAGTGCGTATGTTATGGGCATGGTACGGCTTAGAGAAGAGATGGAGCTGATGTGGTACAGAAAGATGTGGAGCCGAGTAGACTTTCCGATGACCGGTATCAGCGCTCTCAAGATCGGCCTCAGTGGTGACTTATGAAGGAAGCAACTCAGCTGTTGGAGGCAGGTGCCTTCCAACAACAATGGATGGCAGAGGAGCGACATTCACAATGAGTGGAGTGCCAGGCGGCTAACACTCAGCAAGTTGGCACAGTGGGGAGCACAGGTGGTGCATCTGCCTGTCATCTCAGTTAACCGATGGTACCTGAGTCTGTCCCGTGACCTCCTGCCAGGGAACCTTCAACACTTCACGTTATTGCCTCAAAGTGTACTAGTCTGTCACGACAGTTACCCTATAACGACTTGACCTGTCCTGTGAACTCTTGCCAGTAGCTTTAAAGTGTATCTAGGATGGCACATGCACGCTGATGATGTCACCACCCCTTAAGTGGCAAATGGCGGCTGTTGATGTTGTGTGCATAATGAGCGCTGTGGTGGGTCCACCTGATGGTTTGCAGCTCATCCACGGAGAGGTCCTTCAAGGAGCAGCCCTTGGCTTCAGATTCGGCCACGGCTCGTCCAGCGAGATTGTGTGCATCACGGAAAGCAACCTGAGGCACACCAGCAATTACAACACCACATACTCATCATGATGACAACACCACACAAACACTGCGATTACAACACCAAATACACATCATGATGACAACACCACACAAACACCGCGATCACAACACCACGCACACCACCGCGATCACAACACACTATCAAATCCAGCAACACACAACACACACACAGGCGTTTAAATGTTTGACCCTAACCACACCGCTACCACTACCTTGACCTCCAGATGCACAGAGGAGGCGAACTCACCCCCTTCCGGACGAGGTAGTAGGCGAGGTCTGTGGCCAGCATGTCTGGGCTGAGAGCAGCTCGCATGGCAGCCTTGTTCACCTGGCACACACACACACATACACACACATACACAGAGCCTTGTTCACCTGGCACACACACACACAGAGCCTTGTTCACCTGGCACACACACACAGAGCCTTGTTCACCTGGCACACACACACACACGGAGCCTTGTTCACCTGGCACACACACACACAGAGAGCCTTGTTCACCTGGCACACACACACACACACGGAGCCTTGTTCACCTGGCACACACACACACACACGGAGCCTTGTTCACCTGGCACACACACCCAGCCTGGAGAGCCCGTGGAGATGAGTGTTCTCAGCAATTGCCTGTTAAGACTGCAAGAGCTACAGGAGGGTTTTATTTGGGGCCTAGCACCATACACGCCAGTCTTCTGTTGTATGCCCAGTCCTGATGTTCCACATCCCATGCTGACACCACCACACCGACCACACCATGTACACAGATCCTTGAAATATCAGGCAAGGCTGCGTTGGCTGGGCCATGTAGCCACCGCATGCCCAGCCACCGCATGCCCAGCCACCACATGCCCAGCCACCGCATGCCCAGCCACCGCATACCCAGCCACCGCATGCCCAGCCACCGCATGCCCAGCCACCGCATGCCCAGCCACCGCATGCCCAGCCCACGCATACCCAGCCACCGCATGCCCAAGCAGTCTCTGTTTGGCCGGACAGAGGAGGGCTAAGTGGGCCCAGAACGGGCGAGGGACGAGTTGGGCTCATGCGGTACATAAGAACCTCGAGGGAACTGACTTTTCTGACAACTTGTACCAGCACAGCCAAGATCGACCTCTGTGGATGGGTCTCATAGCAATGATGAGAACATGAGGTGGATAGAACACAGTCCTATACATCGATTAAGTAGCGAGTGTGAGTATTGCATCTGCCAGTCATAAGGCCTGTGCCTGTCCAGTGACCCCGCTGCAAGCCTTCAGCATTCCACGTGGCACCGTGTTCATCGAGTGTGTGGTGAATGGCGCTGTAGCTGCTGTCAGTGCGTGGGCGCACACAAAGTTACCGTGAGTGTGGATATGACGCCCGTTGCGATCTGCACCACGGCGCTCAGCGTGTCGTAGACATCAAACATTGCTTCCTTGTCCTCCTGTACGCGTTCGTCAAACACAAATACATTTTAACTCGATAATAAAACCAGATATTTCCCTGCATAAGTAACCATCGGAATTAGCATGAGACCATTTTTGGAGCCAGCCAGCTGTGGAAATCCCATATTCTGATGGCAGGAAATCCACTGTGGCCTTCGCACTGAGTAGAGCTGCTCACGAGAGCTGGGAGTTGCGTGGTAAATGTTTGGAGCGAGGGCGCTGGAATATAATAAAATCGGACACGAATGACATCACTAATCAGCAATCAGCCCGACGGTGGTAATCGCACCTCCGATTAGCACGGTCGGCTACGTACAGTGTGAAATAAGTTCAACAGTCATACAAAGTAGGCGCGTTGTTGCCCGTCGGAGCGTGCCGCAGAATCAGAATCTTTATTTATACTGGAAAAATCTGATGAGCTATCAAACTCGTTTTCACACATGTCCAGTAGGGGCGGGTGAGAACGTGACAACAAATAGTGCAACAATGTTAGTAGTGCAAAGTACAAGAAAGGTAAACAAATCAACAAAACACCTACGAATAAAACTCAACCATCCTGTCGAGGTATCTGTTGTAGTCATTCTGTTCAAAGCCGATCCGACAGCTACGTTAGAATATCAATTCATCGAGGGATAATCACTGTGTAAATTTATTGACGAGCAATGCATGGATCAAGTAATCCCACTGGTTAGTATCGCGTAATGTGAAAGGCCCCTTTTGTTGACTGGCCAATATCTGCGTGATCGGCGATTCGCTCGCAGTCCAATTCCATCACGTTACAGTCCACGGCGCGCTAGAGAAGCCGCGACGGAGGCGGACGCAGCACGGGCCGCTGGCGACGCGGCCCCTGCCGCTGGCGGCGCAGTAGACAGCGCCACTGGTGCACACGCAGCACACTGGACCGGCCGTGCCGGGGACTGCGATGACGGGCGACGCTGCAGTTCTGTGTGCTTGATGGTGATACAGTTTATGACAGCTGCGGTGATTGTATTGATGGTTATGATTGTTATGTCAATGTCGATGAGAATAATGGCATTGATGATGTCTCACCTGCAAGTCCTTGTTGTATGCGGTGGGCAGCCCCTTCATGGTCATCATCAACCCAGTGAACTGTTGAAAAACAAAGACAAGCAACTCCTGGTTAGCCTTATGGACCATCGAGGCAAGTCCTGTTTGCGAGCATGGCACTAAAGGGTGTCGTGTGGGTAGCACCATACCTGGTCACCTTTGATTTCTAAGCGCTGTAGTTGTCCACAAACTGCAGAATTAATTTAGGCTGAGTTGACCGATGGGATTACAGGCTGAGTTTAGATACAAAGTACCTATGATTTTGAGTATCATGGCCAGGAATGGATGTATGTAGCCACCCGTGCTAATCAGGGGAATGGAACCTTTGTGGAATCAAATCAAAGTGTGCTGCTAATCATTACAATGCCACTACACACACACACGCGCACACCACAGTAGTAAAGGCAGTGACCTCCCAATCAGCCCGGTGGGGACTTGTGGTTCAGATGCTGTTGGCATCCATCTGTAATACAGGACTTCACATTACACATCCATCGTTGTCAGCTCCGGGTCCGGAGCCTGGCACTCTCTTAGTGCGAACTCTGCGATGCTCTCCGGGCTGTGCTGGATCTACTCCTCGATATCATCGCCCCCCACCACATCCATCTTTGTCGTCCCCTTCTCCTTCTGCCGTCTATATCCCTAAGGAGGTGGCGGGGCAGGAGAGTTCCCTGTGATCCCCGCACCGCACGCTGCGTTCATCACTCTTCTTGTCCATCCTCCTGTCAAAATTAAACACCAACTATCAGACGCTTATATCCTTCATGGGGTGCCGTGTCATCATCCAAGTCTGGCATCTGGCTGATGACGGCTGCCTTTGCCTTTGTAATGGTTTTCTTGATCTCCTCTTGGCCACTTTCCCTTCTCATCGATCACTTCCCCCGGCTTTGGGAAGGAGTCAATCTTGTCCCCAATGATGCTGAACTTACAGGGGTCTCTAGTGTCCAACTCGGCCACTTGCCATTAGAAACCAAACACCAAGGGTGACGTGTGACGAGGCGAGAGCGAGCGACGAGGAGGGGTTACCCTGCCAAAGACGGTGCCAGTCTTGCCGCGGATGAGCTCCAGGCTGTCTGGGTTCCTCTTCTGGGGCATGAGGCTGCTGCCCGTGCTGGAGCGAGGGGTGGGGTTAGGGGCAGGGTCACACACGGTCACTCACAACACCGACATAGATCCTCACACCATCATCATCACACACCTCCCACCGCCATCATCAGAACAATAACTGCCATTCGCCGCCAAAGTGGCGATGACATCACAATGGTGCTTGTGCCAGACCACGTGAAGTGACAGACTCAGGTGTTTCGCAAAAATAGAGAAGGGGGGGGGCATTAGTGTGGCCGATAAGACACGGAGCTTTGTATGGAATTTGAAAGAGAAATAAAAAAAATGTTTAACCGTTCGGATAGCTATCAACTTAGTGCTGCGTGGAAGTGCATGCTTATACAGGCCACCATACTTCAATAGGGATTACCGTTGGTACGGCTATTTTAATACAATGGACAGGAAGGACACGATCAATGGGCCCGCATAATGTGCATGCATAATGCACGTTGACTCAAGAAGTGTGGTCACCACATCTACACCTCTATATAAGGAACGAAACAGGTGAACTTCTCCACAAATCTGGCTGTCGCCTGATGAAGCTAGTTGTAATTTCTGGTGAAACGTCGTACTCAGATTGTAAATGTTGTGGCTTGGCTCTCCAACACAACCGGCGTGCTGTACTAGTGACGAATTGGCCACGTTCTGTTTACGCGACAACCCTTACTAGTTGGCTGTGTCGGGTGGTGGCGGGTTTAACGACACATTTATATATTTACGCGATCTCACCCAAAACACCTCTATTATGGAGCTTATATACGTAGCGCTATACAGCTGATGAAAATATGACACTCTACCGATTCCCAGTGAGACCTCCACCACCAAAACAGAGTCACTCATGAGCGCACTGCCCAGGTATGGGAACTCCTCCACTCTATTCACAGCTGTCCCATTTCTCACGGGGAGTGGAGGGGGTGGAATGTTTCATGACACATGTGCTTTGGTTTTGTTGGGCTGATAGTCAGGCCCCATCTCTTAGTAGCACAGGTTCAGTAGTAGTATCAGGTTTAGTACCACCATCACACACCTCCTATGTTTACACATCGAAACAGGTACTAATTTGAGGCTGAGTCGACCTAGGGGAGGCCCAGAACCGGTTCAAATAATTGTTACTGATGTTGGCCAAGTTCGTGGCGCGACGTGCTAACCGCTGCACTCCCGCACCGCACACACCTCCCACCACCAGCACCATCACCGTGCGGTGCGTCTGCATGCGTCTGCATGCGTGTGGTCACCTGTACGCGTCCGAAAGGCTGACGAAGCCGAACTCCTTGCTGCTGTAGAGCACCAGGTCCTCCGCCATTCGGCTCAAGTGCGTCATGGTGAGTGACGCCGCAAACAGGAACTCGGCTACACGTGGCACCACCACCACCACCACGTCACAAACCACAACACCACCACTACCACGTCACAAACCACAACACCACCACTACCACGTCACACATCGCATCACCATTAATACACCACCAGGTCACACATCACATCACCATCGACAACATTGCCACGTCACATATATTTCTACACAGCCATCCTTCCAATCCAGCAGAGCCCTTTTGCAAGGAAAGCAGCTGTGATGATTTTCCCGCAGGGGAACCAGGACATAGCCAGCGCCTCTCTCCCTCTGAGCGCTTCGCTGAGGACAGCAAACCCGTCTCGGGCCTAGGATGGCCCTGAGCTCCTCCTCAATTTAGGATGCAAATGAGTCAGTCGCAGAATAATTGGGCAAGCGGTGTTAACGAGCACTCGTTATGCAACCAGCCACATGCACGCGCGCACACGCCCACTCACCTATGAAGTCTCTGTCGCTTGTGGCGTCCATGCTGTTGAGGCTGATCGAATCAAAGTTCAGTTCTGTAAGAGGATTCGCACGTTAGCTGTGCACACGAGCCTACCATGATCAACATGTGAACATTAACACTCTCATTACTACCAGGAGTGGTGCTTCCGCAAACACGTGTGGTTAATGCAGACTTGATTCCGTATAATAGGTGTCCATTTGGTGTTTGCACATATGAACACCTGTATGTATTGCCAGAAAGAAAAAAGCTTTTTTTCTTTTTTATCATCTTGATGCTGGCAAAAAGGACCCCCTAAACAATAAAGCACAGCGTGTCAATGAAGGTATCATCCACTATTAAAGAACTGGAATGAACACAGCAGTCAACTTGTGTGGCCTACAAAAAATGGCTGCTGCAGCAAGTTGAACAGTTTCTCTCCACGTGGAGTTGTCCTGCCGACGTGTGACGTGACGTGGTTATGCCCTGTGTTCTGTTCACCACAATATCGGCACGAACTCATCTGCGATCTGGGTGGTGTTTTGCAAAACAAATCTGGGGAGTTGTTGTTCCACTAGGATTACACTTTAAAACTCTTCATACAAGACTACAACATTTGCCCGGCTAACAATAGGTGCGTGTGTGAGTGACGTGCACTCCGCATGTGGTGTACGTGCATACAGCACATTCTCTGCCACGTATCCATAAGTACATACCCTTGCGCAAGATCTCTCGGTCAATGTTCAACGGGTTTCCGGCTATGGCTCCACTGCGTGAGCACGCACACACACACACACATGTACACAGACACACGCACACACACAACACACACACACACGCATGCACACAGACACACGCACACACACAGATGTTGCATTCATCCTGGACAGACTGAGGGCATCATCGCTACCAAGCGTCCACTTACTGTGGTTGTGTCCCCAGTGCAGAAGCAGGACCACACCGGGTTCTTATTTCAGGCTAGGTCAGCCTCGGGGAGGACCAGGCCCCATGGGTAGATTTCAGACACAGAATTCAAATATCAAACTGGGTCACCATAGTCAGACTGTGAATGAGATCTGCCCATTGGGTCACTGTAGAGAATGTGAATGAGACCTGTCACTCACACAGAATCACGAGAGAATGTGAATGTGACCTGTCACACACACAGAGTCACTGGAGAGAATGTGAATGTGACCTGTCACTCACACAGAGTCACTGGAGAGAATGTGAATGAGACCTGTCACACACACAGAGTCACGAGAGAATGTGAATGTGACCTGTCACTCACACAGAGTCACTGGAGAGAATGTGAATGAGACCTGTCACACACACAGAGTCACGAGAGAATGTGAATGTGACCTGTCACTCACACAGAGTCACTGGAGAGAATGTGAATGAGACCTGTCACACACACAGAGTCACTGTAGAGAATGTGAATGAGACCTGTCACTCACACAGAGTCACTAGAGAATGTGAATGAGACCTGTCACTCACACAGAGTCACTGGAGAGAATGTGAATGAGACCTGTCACACACACAGAGTCACTGTAGAGAATGTGAATGAGACCTGTCACTCACACAGAGTCACTAGAGAATGTGAATGAGACCTGTCACACACACAAAGTCACGAGAGAATGTGAATGAGACCTGTCACACACACAGAGTCACTGTAGAGAATGTGAATGAGACCTGTCACACACAGAGTCACTGGAGAGAATGTGAATGAGACCTGTCACACACACAGAGTCACTAGAGAATGTGAATGAGACCTGTCACTCACACAGAGTCACTAGAGAATGTGAATGAGACCTGTCACACACACAGAGTCACGAGAGAATGTGAATGTGACCTGTCACTCACACAGAGTCACTGGAGAGAATGTGAATGAGACCTGTCACACACACAAAGTCACGAGAGAATGTGAATGAGACCTGTCACACACACAGAGTCACTGTAGAGAATGTGAATGAGACCTGTCACACACACAGAGTCACTGGAGAGAATGTGAATGTGACCTGTCACTCACACAGAGTCACTGGAGAGAATGTGAATGAGACCTGTCACACACACAGAGTCACTGTAGAGAATGTGAATGAGACCTGTCACACACACAGAGTCACTGGAGAGAATGTGAATGAGACCTGTCACTCACACAGAGTCACTGGAGAGAATGTGAATGAGACCTGTCACACACACAGAGTCACTGTAGAGAATGTGAATGAGACCTGTCACACACACAGAGTCACTAGAGAATGTGAATGAGACCTGTCACACACACAGAGTCACGAGAGAATGTGAATGCTCTGTCTGCAATGTGGAGTCACCTGCCCAGAGGCAGGACGTTGGTGCGGGCGCGTGCCTGGCCAAGCCGCTCTGCATCCCTCAGCAGGGCCGTGGCGTGACTGGAAGAAAGCCCAGAGCACGATAAGCACCACGCCACCATCGCATCGTCACATCAACACATCGTCACAACAGCACATCAAAACATCGTCACAAGCGGGTTCACCACCAGGCCGGGTGTGGCCACCGCTCCACCGCATCCACCTCACAGCGACGGATGACCGGTTGTTGCACTGTAATCCGGTCACCTGAGCAGCCAGTGGCTCCACCGGATTGGCTGCGCTCGCTGCAGGTGCGTGTACCCAGGGCAGAGGACGTCCATCTCCCTGTGGCAACACGAGACAGCACGGCAACGAAGCACACGGTCACAACACAGCGTCCACACTACACTCCACCGCTCACTCCCCCACCCTTTCACTCCCTCACCCACTCACCCATGCACCTGCCAGTCCACCGAGTGACTCCACCACTAGCAAGTAAGAATGCAGGCGAGTCTGTAAGTGAGGTGCGGGGGTTGCGTGCAACGGGGTGCAGGGCGTACGCGTGGGCGCGCTGAGCGAGGGAGCGCACGAGCGTGTGCAGCAGAGCGAGGAGGTGGGAGAGTGCCTCCCGCAGCCAGATCCTCACGTCCGTCACCACCTGCAGGGGAAACGTCGTGCGGAGAGGCCGTGGCACGTGGGCCGCCATGCTCGCGCGCAGTGGGACGCACGCACGCTCCACGGTCGCCAAATTAAGTCCCTGCCACTATTTAAGTCCCATTTAAAATGTTTGTTGTTTTCTTTGGCCTTGAATTGAGTTGACCTTGGTTTGCGTGCGCTACGTATGTTGCGAGGTACAATATTCTTTCTTTGTTTATGTAATGTTTTTGTCTTGTACACCGTTGTGAGATGCAGTTTTGCTGTGAACAAGCGCGATATAAAAATTATGATAATAATTATTATAAGTCTACTTGGTTCTCCCTGCACAGGTTTAAATCTTGGTGGCTATGAAATATTGATATTTGCTCCATTGTTGTACCCTGTTTTATGCTATTTTAGGATTTTGGTGACCCAGGTCAGTCTTGCAAACGAGACTTTATCCTGGTCCTGTTGAGTTCTAATCTGGTTGGACAAACCCAACTTAAAAACCCGAACATGAGCAGGGGTGGCACTCATCTCTGTGCCGTGCGCGAGGCTTAATCAATGTGCGTGCGTGAACGTCAATGAGCGTGCGGGTTACTGAGTGAGTGAATACATGTGTGGGTGTAAGTGAATATGTCTGTGCATCAGCGAGTGAGTGGTTGCGTGTTTTAAAGAGTGAAGTATGTGTGAATACGTGTGTGTGTTGGGTGCTTACAGCACTTACACCAACAGTATATTCAAGGCTATATGTGGGGATATTTGCTGTGTGCGTCTGTGTGACAGTAAATGTATCCGTGTGTGCGTGAATGTGTGAGTGTGTGAATCACGAGACCTGGTCGTTTCGGCTCCGTCCCGTGTGCAGTTTCCCTCCGGCTTCTCCAATCAGCTCCTGCAGTCCCCATCATCGCAATTACGACCAGCACCACCTTCGCCATCATCAACACCATCACTACCATCGGCATTAGAATCACCGCTGGATGTCTCTGCACTGTGGCTGTCAGCCGAGCGCTGGGTGGGGGTTTCCTGGGGTCTCGGGGGGCTCCAAGACTCTGCCACTGCGTCAGCTGCCCATGTAACATCACTCCGCACGGACATCATGACAACTGACTGATTACCATTTGGACTCCAGATCAAATCCATTACCTACGAATGAAGTCGCTTCGCGTGCTGCTGTTCCACTCTTGGGTGGTAGAGACCGTGGTTTCAAGGATCAGTACTGAGGGTTGTGTGTGATGTGTGCACGATACTTGCACTCATTCATCGGGAAGGTGCATTCTGAAAAGCAATTAGTCTTTGTTTCTAATTAACTTGAGGGTTTGTAAGTAATGACAATACAATTTTGATTTACATAGCATTTAAATACAACCAAATCTCGAAATATAATGGTGAATTTGGTATTTTCAAGGGAAAAAACAGGCATTGGAGTGCTAACCAGGGGTGCCACCCAGGGGTGCCACTCCAGCTGGTGGGGCACCGAACAAGTGCACCTTGAAGGACAAGTTACAACCCTGCAGCAGCTTCGGATCTCACGGAAATAAGCACTCCAGCTGTGGTGGCAGCAATGGCATGAAAATAAATGAAAACCTCCTTCTGGTAATCTGATTACCATACTGCTCGTACGATGACTCCCTGCAATGTAACACATCTACCGGTAGAGTAACTGTAATCTGATAGTGATATACTGGATGACCGGCACTTGCCTCTAATAATCTGGGTTACCAATGAGCTCCACCCACCGTCTTCTCGTAAGTGCGCTCACGTCTGTGCGTCTGTGCGTCTGTGCGTCTGTGTGCGTTACCTTGAGGCGCCTCTCGTTGGCCGTGTGGATGTCTTCGTCGTTCTCTTTGACCTCAAACTTTCCCTCCTCCCACTCCTTCTCGATCTGCAACATGCATGCACGCACGCACCAGCTTCATTCACGCTCACTCCAGCGCCTCCAAACCAACGCACGATCAATGCGCAGCACGAGGGGCGCGCTACACTACAGGGAGTGGAGGAGCAAAGTCCTGTTTGGGCTCTAGAGTGCAAGCGGTTCCCCTCGGCGGGGCATGTGGAGTCTCGAGTCACTGGCGCCGCTTGGCTGTGAAATTCCACAGGCAGCGTCCATTGCTCAGCGGTGGACAAGAGACCCCGCGTGCGCATTGCACGTGCGGGCAGCCTTGTGGCACTGTGGCAGAGCGCTCGACTCACAATCCAAAGTTTACGGCCGTTAAACACCAAGTTTGTTAGTTGTGCAATATTCCTTAAGAGCCGTGTACAGGCGACTCCCGCACCTACGACCTAATTGGTGCCTGAACGACGCTCGCAAGTGAAGCCGTCGTAAGTCGAATCCTCATCTCCCATAGGCGCAATGTTATACATTGGGGTTCCGTTCCTGGAAACCCGTTACATACCATACAAATACCAAAATTTTGCACGAAAATAAATGAAAATAACCCTGACAAACATTTATTGTAGCTTAACGTAACTTTTACAAACATTTATTAAGTAAAAAGAAACACATTTTAAAATCCATATGTACTTTTCTGCACATTTATCACATTTGCTCTTCTCAGACATAGCAAAAGGCGAACATTTATCAAAATTTCAAGAAAATTGACAAAAAAGTGAAGAGCGTTGTGAAAGAGACGCTGCTGCGATCGCACTCAGGGCAGCTGCAGACTGCCGGGCTTTGCTGAACATTTGCATACAGCGGAATAGCAAAGCAGCGCCATCAACTCGGCATCGGTAGCAGTCGTTAGGCGGTCATAGACACTGAGTTCTGGTCGTTACTTTGGGGGTCTTGCTGTAAGGAAGGTCGTAAAAGCAGGGGGTCGTAAGTCGGGGGTCACCAGTTCTCGTCTTTTGACATGTTTGTTTTGCTGCTGCTGCTGCTGCTGTGCTCATGCAGCACCACGGGTCTCCTGTGTAACTAGCCGGGGAAACTGGCTCAGTGGGATTATCCCTGTAACAAATAAAATAAACGTACAGTATATCCCAGTGACATGTGTAGACCTGTGTGTATTGGCCAAAATGTGTATAATGACTTTTGCGTGCCTGTGTAAAATGACGTGTGTGCGTGTCTGTATATAATGAGTGGTGTGTGTCTGTGTAAAATGACGGGTGTGTGTGTCTGTGTATAATGAGTGGTGTGTGTGTCTGTGTATAATGAGTGGTGTGTGTGTCTGTGTATAATGAGTGGTGTGTGTGTCTGTGTATAATGAGTGGTGTGTGTGTCTGTGTATAATGAGTGGTGTGTGTGTCTGTGAACCTGTGTGAGTGCGACGCGAATGGCCTGGGCCTCGGCTTGGGTCAAGATGCCCGTGAGGCTCAGTGCGAGGGCGTAGGCCGAGCTGCCCTGCAGGTCCGCGCGCCACATCCGGCGATCGACGCCCAGCGAGGCGTTGAACTGAGACATCAAGGGGTCCGTGGCTCCGACAAAGCGGCCACCCCACAGCTTACCAGCCTGGGACATGCACACACACACACCACCAACATCACGTAGAGCCTCATAGAGCAAAAGAGTTTCATTAGCACTGTTCTGCACTGTTCCTAGAGCCCTTTGTGTCCCCTGTACATTCGACATCACACCAGCTACTCGTTCATAGCCGAGTCAACCCACGAAAGGCTCAGAGACAACATAAACAGCAATGATCATGCCAGTGAATCTCACCATCTTATCAATGCACTTACACCTGCCTACCTCTCACCACTCACCCAGTCTACTCTCCTGCACAAACTCTCCTGCACAAACTCTCCTGCACAAACTCTCTTGGCTAAGTCATCCGTCTGGAACACCCTTCCCCCGGCCATTTGGACTTCTCTCTCTCTCTCTCCTTTTTCAAGTCCAGACTCAAAACCTTCATTTTTTCCTACAATTCATGAATATATAAATAAAACCCTTTCCCCATGTTGCCCAATTTCCACTGTTTTGTACAGGGAGATTTGGTTCCCTTTAAAACGCTCCGTCAGATTGACTGGGTCTTGGGACGGTAGATTTGACCCAAGTTAGACAACACACTCTACTGTGGTCTTTAGTCAACAGCCGTATACAGCAGTTTATGTTCCATTAGAAATAAAACGTCCCTCTACACACACGCACGAACGTAAACACACACACAGCATCACTCACCTCTGTGCTGCCCGATGTCTCGGACATTTTCAGCAGCAGGTATCTGTAGAGACAAAGGTAATGGTGTCAGGGACATGGGCCCGCATTCGCTGTTCTGTCGCAACGTAGTCCAGCAGATGATCTTTCTTGGACCCGGCGTGCATCCGTGATGTGTGGATGCACTGACGTTTGGAAGAGCGTGTTGGTTACTCAAAGGCCGTAGACTGCACAAACGTTTAGCAACCTTTTACTGTTTTAATTATTTGGTACGTAGCCAACCGTGCTAATCGAATGAGGGAGATGATTCCAATCAAACCAGCACAGGTGCTTGCGTCATGACCCACTCAGGCGTCGAGTCGCCCAACACGAGAACCTGTTGGGTCACTGTCGCCAGCATCTGGCACAGTTCATCGAAGGTATGTGCCTCATCAACTTTGACTGTCGCCCTCCGATAATATTCAACTTCGGTGGGAGTGTAACCCACCACCACCATTCTCGCCTTCGGTTGGAGGCTTGCACGGAACACCAGGGGATGGGTGGCTCGTACCACGCCCGACCGCCTTTATCTCCCCAGTGGCGATGTTTACACACCGCACCGGGTACTTATTCGAGGCTGAGTCGACCTAGGGGAGGCTCAGGACCCGTTCAAACAATCGTCACCGGTGTTGGCCATGAGCCGGAATCGAACTCGGTCGCCGTGTTTGTAGAGCTAACCACGACACTGCCGAGGTATGGGGCCGTCCATAAATGACGTCACGCGATTTTGGACGATTTTTGACCCCCCTCCCCCCTCGTTACGCGGCGTCACAAAAAGTCAGACCCCCCTCAAATATGACGTCACAAAGCTCTGCCCCCCTCCCAAAACCATATTTCCATTTTGAAAATAAAACATGCTTCAAATCGCTTTAAACTATTGTCATTGTAGCGCGTATTTAATGTGGCGCTGCACTCTGATGTAGGAGAAACACGTAATTTAGCATAAAATTCACTTGAAAATATTCAACGTCTAACTAAAACTGCAGATGTTCAGAATATTATATTGAAATTCTCTTATAAATACTTGAAACTTTGTAGTAGAACGAAGCAAAATGGAGAGGACAATTATAACAATCATATATTCATTCCACAGAATGAAAAGCCCTGGTAGAATCATTCAAATCTAAATGTTTAATAACAATAATTCAAAAAATTTACAAAATGTATGCTTCTCCATTCTCCAATGGTGTTGAATATACGCTTGGTGGTGTTTCATTCTTCACCTGAGGACGGCTGCTTGCGTTGTGGCCGAAACGTCGTGAGAATAATTTTATTATGTTTTAGTTTTATTATTTTATTACTTCCCTTCTACGTGACTTCACCGAAAGAACCAAGAAGATAGAACGTGTTGTTTATATTTATTTAAAGTTGCGCATTTTGATGTGACGTCACATTTCTCAACCCCCCTCCCCCCCTCGTCACACATCGTCACAAATGTCTGACCCTCCCCCCCCCCAGGTGCGTGACGTCATTTATGGACGGCCCCTACGACTGTACAACACACGCTCGCCCCATCACCCACATGCACCCCCAGCAGCAGCAGCCACCATTCGCCACTAAGTGTCGGCGAGGCCACCACGGCGCCTGTGCCAGGCGAGGTGCACTTTGAGAACGTGGTGTGTCGAAGGCTCGCTGACAGGTTACGGGACAGACCCCCAGGTGCCATGGTTTGACTGACATGACTGGCAGATGTACCAGCTGTGCCTCCTGCTGTGCCATCACTCACACCCACCCCCATCACGCACACCCCCATCACGCACACCCCCATCACTCACTCCCATCAACTTCCATCACTCGCACTGACCCCATCACTCACCCCCATCACCCACCCCCATCGCGCACACCCCCATCACTCACTCCCATCAACTCCCATCACTCGCTCACCCCCCATCACTCACCCCCATCAACCCCCATCACCCACCCCCATCACTCACCCCCATCACTCACCCCACCTCACCCATCCCCCTCACACCCCATCACCACCCCATCACCCACCCCCATCACTCACCCACCATCACTCCCATCACCACCCCCATCACTCACCCCCATCACCACCCCATCACTCCACCCCATCAACCCCATCACTCACCCCCATCACTCACCCCCATCACTCACCCCCATCCACCCCCCTCACTCACCCCATCACTCCACCCCATCACATCACCCCCATCACTCACCCCCATCATACACCCATCAACTCCCATCACTCACACCTCCATGGCCCTATCACTCACCTCCATCACTCACTCAATCCATCATACTCCCCCCTCATCACCCCCATCACTCACTCCACTCCATCCCCCCATCCATCACCCCCATCCCCCACCCCCATCACTCACCCCCATCACCACCCCCATCACTCACTCCCATCAACTCCCATCACTCGCTCCCCCCATCACCCACCCCCATCACTCACCCCCATCAACTCCCATCACTCGCTCACCCCCATCACACTCACCTGACTGTCCGCTTGAATGAGCTTCGCGTCTGGGTCACGTGACCCTCGGGAGGCCAGGGTGGGGGCGCGGCCCGCGTCCACTCGGCCCCCCCCACCCCCGCGTGACGTCATCACGCACAGCGAAACGGAATGACGTCAACACGTACGCGAATCCAACAGCGTGGCCATGCGCGATGGGCGGGGGGGGGGAACCCCGCACGCCCGGCCACGTGTCTCGCGTGGTATTCACCAACATTCTAGATTGGAAGCTTTATTATATTACTTTATTTATAATAGTTTATTATTTATTTCATTATTTCTTTTTCCCTACGTGACTTTACCGAAAAAAACATAAGAATATTCACCAACATCTCGCGAGGGGGAGCCAGCGAGCCGTACTCGTCTGGTGATGCACCAAGGGTGGCACAGTCGGGTTTTTTTACAATCGTTTATCGCAACCTCCAGCACGCTATAGCTGCACTTTCACTGGGCTGCTTGCTATTGGAGTGACTGGGAAACGTCACTGTGTGGTGCTGGGCCTGCGAGGCCACGGCGGGATGTCGACTGTTGTGTGTCCACCCCAGACACGAGGTGTAGCACCAGCCCGAGTGGGGGCTTGGGGGAGCGCTGGGTGAGCGCGGTGGCACCACGCACAGCGTGCAGGTGCGGGCTCCCGTTGAGAGAGAGCGAGAGTGTCAGCCAGCTGGGGCTACGTTGGGGGCATGATACTGTGGCTGACCTGGGGACATGTGACCGGATATTGGAGGGAGGCCATCGGTGGAGGGGGCCAATGGGTGGTCACATGGTCCAAGAAGAACTCTCGAGAGCCTTCGGGCAAGGGGCGAGCGATCGAGGTGGGCGGGGCGAGAGGCGGAGCCAGCCCCAGCCCGGCCCCATATAAGGGGGGCCCTGTGAGGGGCTCGGGGTTCTTACTGTTGGAGAGGCAGGAGATCCACGTCTAGCTTGAAGAAGCCTCCAGCCACGCGGTCCGGGACCCAGCTCGTGGTCCGGACCGGGATAGTGGAACCGTGTCTAGTTCCACTGTGGCGTGGTTCGTTGGGTGGTCACCACCCGAGGGTGTGTTGTGTTAATAGCCCTGGAGTATGTTGTGCAAATAGTTAATGAACGTGTTGCTCCCAAGACGTCTGTGACTCAGTTGGACTCACGACACTATGACACCATGTTCCATCTCAGTATGGAAATTGCAGGATACAAACATCCAGGCATTGCTGTTGTTATTGTTTGTTTACCCAGAAAAGCCTCACCAAGTCTCAAACAATTTTTAGGAGGATCCTTCCAAGTTTCACAGTAATGGGTTATTGCCATGTAGCTTCCAAGAGTGATTTGCAAGCAAGAGTAAGCATGTCATTATGGGTGACCTACTCTTCAAATGACATCACATATTTAATGTGCACTGTGAAGCAGAGGGCGTGTATTTTTAGTCAATCCCGCAGTATTAATCAGGGCAGCCGCTGGGTTTGAACCATTAACTCTGCAACAAGTGGCAAAGGAAGGTCACAAACACTTTGGCTGCATTGTAATGACACCCCAATCACGCTACAATAAACTCAAGATATTGCCCCATATTTCCACCTGATAATTGGTACGTGATGTGAAACGGGATGCCATGTGTTACATTACAATGGCAGGAAATGTTATTCTGAACGACAGAGGCATGCGATGAGGTAACAGGATTGGCTTCCAAAGGCTCAAACACAGGACCAGTGATAAGACATGCAATAGACTGGGTAACTCATTTTAATAAAAGCAACTTGCAAATGCATAATTTTACAGAAGATGCAACCTTTGTGAGACAGATCGGTGGGTGCTTAGTAATAAGTGTGCCATCTGCTGAAAACACAAATTGGCAATACAACAAGACCTGTGTAAGTAAAGACCATGTGAATACCACCAGACCAACCAGATTCACTTGTGCCTCAAAATAAATACTGCATATAAACAGCGCATCCCAGGTCAAGGGTCAGGGGAGCCCACTTGAGAGTTATTTATTCCAGGACATCATCGTTTTTGGCTCCATTAAATAATAACTCTGGCTCAAACGTTGAAGGTTAACCAAGCTTTATGTGGCACTAATTTCCATCATGAGGCAGTGGTAGAATTCCACATTTCTATGGCAGGGTCAATCTATCCATAGAACTGTGGTACTCATTTTATCATCCACGGAGAGATGATGGGCTGAGTTGACTCCTAAACTTTGACCTCCCAAACATTCTTACTTTTGAGTTGGGCACTTCTGCTGAAACATCACCAGCCAGGTTCAACTAAACAGCTACAGAAACCTAGACGTGGTGTGGAGAGTGAAAGCGACGAGTCTTTCAGTGCTGTCAGATGACAGAGTGCGGGTGGTGAAGGTGGCGCTCTCAGGGGCCCCACCAAGCGAGCCTCGTGTCCACCCTCCCAGCGCAGGGAGCGCCGCCGGCCCGCATCACTGCGCCATCTCCGTCTCCATGGCACGCGCCGTCCACTCGGGGGCGTGCTGCGTGATCTTCTCCAGCAGCGTGTTCACCTGCGCACACAAACGTGCTTAGACAATAAGATAAAGTTTCCCCCTATAACCTCAACAGACATTTGGGGCAAGTGCTGGTATGGCACGGGAGGGGGTGGGTCGCCAGCACCACGCCTGGCCACCTTTGTCTCTCTAGCGGCAATGTTACATGTCGCACAAGGTACTCATTTAAGGTTCAGTCGACCGAGAGAAGGCCCAGGACCAGTTCAGATAATCGTCAATTGTGTTGGCCGTGAGAGGGAATGGAACTTGGGTCTCCGGGTTCGTAGCACAAGACACGAACGACTACACTGCCGCTCTACACACACGAGCGCTTAAAACACGCGCCTGCCGTGCATCGCGATAGTGGAGGTGGCTTCCGAGGCTTGAGGCATCGATATATGAATTCAAATATATTTCAGCCACGACACGTGCATGGAATGGATAATCACGATCATGCATAGTCACAGGGACGCGTAGGCCGCCCGCCTTGCCTGGAAGCACAGGGATTGGATTTGCTTGTCCCACGTGGGCAGGGGCTCCCGCGACTCGAAGTGCACGATGCCGTCGATCTGGTCCACGACGCCGGCCATGCGGCCCTCGGTGATCATCTGTGACGCGATCTTCTCCGCCTTCTCGGGTGGGATCTCCAGCAGGGCGCCCAGCTCCGAGAACGTGATATTGTTGTACAGCTTGCTGGCCGACAGCAGGTTGTGCTCTATAACCGCACGGTCCAGGATGCTGGAGCCTGTACACGCCAGAGTGAAGATGCAGTGAGGGTCCCGCTCATCCGTGATTGCACAGAGAATTACGTCTGTATTTTGTTTGTGAATCAAACCACTGTGCAACCACACTCTATCAACATACTTTGCTTATCCGTGAAGACTGCAGGGGCAAGTGCTGTTGGTGAGCACCTATTAAGGCCGGCAAGGCAAACGATATGGTGGTGGGGCCAGCACCCTGCCATTGTCCCTCTCATGCTAATGTAAACAATGTGCACCAGTGATATAATTCGAGCCAAGGGGAAGCAGAGGGCATGCTCAGATAACACTTGCCCGCTATGTTATCTGTGGCAAGGGGTTGCTGGGTTTGTGGCACAGTGTGCCAACTGCTGCACCACAGCTCTTGTGCCCCTCTCACCGTCTGCTGTGGTGGCCTTCTGGTGCGGGGCGAGTTCGGCTGAGAACTCGTGCAACTGCCCGCTGCGGATGATCCGGTCGAGGTACATCTTCTCCAGTATGCCGTGGGCTGCCAGCTGCTGGCACCGCTCGTCTGGTGAAGACACAGCCAAGGACAGAATGCATGGTCACACACGGCAATATTCAACAACGAGGAGGCGATTTCAACGTAATACCTACATTTGTGCCCGCACACCTATACGACTATTTACGTACGTGATTACGCCCTGACAGCTTGGCGACTTATCTCAGAAGTACCAGCCCCATGCTGCAATCGCAGGGTTTATAGAGTGATCAGTACTCACTGCTGTAGCTCTCCTCACATTAACCCCACAACAACAAGCAGAGCGCCGGGTGGTTAAAACGTGAGGTGGCCAGATGGACATCACAGGTTGTGCATCTGCCAGTTATCTTGGTCAACCCATAACAGATGGGTGTGTCCTGTGACTTCTTGCCAATGAGTCTCCGACACTTCATGTGGCCACAAAGTACACCTACCCTGGCACACGTGCCGTTGTGACGTTACTGCCACCTAATGACGAACAACGGTTGTTGTGCGAGAGACACGTGTGCGACCACACCTTTAAACAGCGTGGCGAGCATGCGTGACCGCTGCTGTCCAGCGGAAGCCAAGATGGTGCAGTGCAGTGCATGCTTGAGGGCCTGACAAAAGACAAAGCACCCTCTCAGTCACCGAGCTGCCTGTCAGGGCAAACGCTGTAACACCAATCACGTTCAAACACGGCAAACAAGGTGGTGGTGGGGCCAGCCCCACGCAAGACCGACTGCTTTTCTCTCTCCAACGCCGATGCTGACCACACCAGATGATACTTTTAGGTTTAATTAAACAGGTCAGGTTAAATAAGTCATTAAGAGATGTCCAGCAGTAAGATATATGTGAAAAAGTTTTAAAGTCTTGGGCAAAATGTATCTCCATACTCAGGGTGCTCATCTCTGTTGGTGGCCAGTTTCAGAAAATCCATAGTCTATATTTCGATGGCAGAGAAAAATATACAGACTAAAAAATTATAGTGGAATGCTGAATGTAAACATCAGTTTTCCCAATAGATTAACTAATTGTCTGCCTCCCTGCTGTGACCTGATATTGCAAACATGTGAAATCACAATTGTGGGTCACCGCTATTCCAGGTACCTGCAGACGCTCCTCCTCCGCCACGAGGGGCTTGTAGGAGAGCTCGTTGTAGCGCTGCGCAGCCTCAATAAACTTGCGCCTGTAGTCCAGCACACGGGCATAGCAGACCTGTACTCGCGGGCACACAAAGACAGACATATGTGCACAAACATTCTCCGATTATACTGGTCAGAGTGTTACGAAGAGCGATGACATAAAGAGGCATATATAATGAGCATGTCTTATATAAACTATAGAGGCAGAGGAGAATATGAAGGATGTGGTGAG